TTGAGGATTTTCATTTCATCTCGACTGTCGTAGAATGCTATTCGAGCAGTCCTTTCTGGAGTTCTGAGATAGCTGGGCTGGAGCATCCCTAGTTGTATTACAGAGAGTAATTTCTTCCCAGACAAGTGCGGTAACAGCTCGAACCTGGAGGGATGAGCGGCTTGGTTATCCGGGGCCGAATCGAACTAGCACCGTGTCCCTGATGATTGATGGACATCACTAATACTGTGATATTCGCCCCATTACTTGGACCTGAAAGATCTATGCCTCTTTTATTGTGCCAATGCCGGCCTCTAATCGAAACACATTTCTCACAGTTGCCCTTTTCTGCGTGAGACATGGAATTACGAACTGGTAAAATATGAGCGCTTTTGTTCACATAGTTGGTGAATATTGCTTATACAACGCCTTTGAAACAATCTTTTCTGAACCACACTAAACGAAAACCAACGAAGTTATACCACTATGCTGCGAAGCTTCGTGGAGCAATGCAAATTATTTGTTCTAGTGAATCACTTTAAATGGATCGATATTGCTAGATCGAGAAGCCCGTATGCCCTAGGTTTTCAACAAAGAGCTCGTAACCAATAGCAAATATCATCTCATTCGATACATCAGTGCAGTTCCAGAAAATAAGTCTTTCGCCCGTATCAGAGAAGTCCTAGACGGAGTCTTGTCGTCATGCGCAATTCGACTACATCGTAGTTGACCTTATAACTTAATCCTCAGCATGATCTCCCACTCCTAGGTTTCAGGGTCTCACTGTACACTAATTTTTAGTAGTGAGTGCTAAATTCTCATCGTTCCACCTGCTAACCTACTGAGAGTTTTTCGAGGACATAAAAATGAACTTTCTTATTGTCCAATTTCGAACATTCCAAACAATTCTGTGTGTTTATCAGTTCTCCGAATAGAAGTCTGTGATTATCCCCTTCAATGTCGCAAGGCAAACAGCCGTTGTTACGCATTCCCAGATGCTGTGCCGTTGGCAAAATCAATGGAAGAAGCACCATCATTTCAGATGTTCATCTTCTTCCCTCTTAAAAAAAAATTCTTCAGGAGCTTTGTGTATTGACTAGCTCACACAAGATTGTTTCAAATTTTTGTTGTGGCTAACGTTTTGGTGATGTTGCTTTCATCACAGCAGCAACGATTCGAGTTGAGAGTCAATATTAGTTGTTTTTTCTTGAAATATAGACCTTGGCATTAAGTCGAATCCAGTAGAGTGGAGCACCGCTTGAACAAAGTTAATGTCATCCAACAGTGTACTCTGTAGCAGATGGCTTTTGACGCTGGAATGAACTGACCTCGGCCGATAGTTTCCCAGGATAAAGGACAGTATTTGGTCGATTACTAAACGAAACTATTTGTTTCTCAGGTGAATACAAGCTATGGCAGCCGGTTTAGTACTATATAAAGGCAAACATTCAATTTCAACTTTAACTTAGCGTTGATGCTAACAATCAATGTCAAAATTTATTGATAAGCTTACACGAGGTTGATGATGAAGCGTTAGCTACAGCAAAGATATCCACAAAATCGTGTAAGCTTATCAATAGTCAAGATGATGGTTATCAATGCCGAGATCGAATGAAGTCGGTAGGAAAAATATGTCTTCTAGGAAAATCTCGTGCTAGAGTACATCATATGCAAATATAGTGTTCGCAGTGGTATTATAGTATTGGCGGGCAACTCTGATGAAGTGAAGTGAGAGGAGCTCGTTCACTTGCCTTGCCTCCCACTACTACTGCTCTTTCAAAACCCCTACAATCATGACAGCTTCATTGTACAGATGATATTTGGCTTCTACATGGTGAAATACCTCGAAAAATTTTCCTTAAACTTACAATGCTACGAAATTCAGGCACAGTGGAAATGATTTTCTCAAAACATTTTCGCAAAATAACCAGTAAACATCAGAGATATTGTCGTTTTCTTTCATAATTTGGAACCCACCGTTTGATAACAGGCATAACGATAAGGAGATATCTGTCTGGTTATTCTGTGCCAAATAACATATTTTCGAGGAGTAAATGTAACTTTTCTGGGAACAGAAGAAGCGCAACACACACCCACTGCAATCAATACATAATGATCGCATGCTGTGGCTCTAGTGAGTTGCGTGTGGGAAAGGGTTACTCCGAGTAAGATGTCTTGTCACTAGAATAGCAACTAAATAGCTCTCTAGTTGCAAATTCATGTCTCGACATATTATTTAAGGTGTGTATTACTAGCTAATACTTTTTTTTGATTGGCACTATTATAGTTCCCAGGATCGACTTTCTATTAACCTCGGCATTGGAATATGAATGTGTCGTTTTCTTGTTCAGCAATCGCGAGGTTTTTAAACAGCATACATTTACTTCCATAAAAACACAATACAATACACCACTAGCTGACGTTTCGGCAGTATCGCCTTCTTCAGAGCCTGGAAGAGTATACTGATATACAATCTACTAAGCCAAACGCTTCAATACCACTCACAAAAAGAAAAAATCTATGGCAATTACGTGATCAACAACTTCTCGAAAAACCCACCGCTTTTTCGTGACTTTTAATGAGGAAGTTTAGAACAGCTGATTATAGTCGCATACGGTTGATGACTGCACCATCCAACATCAGAAATTGATGTTTTGGCATTTATCCAAAAAACCTCAAGAAGTTTTCGCGCTGGTGTTTTGGACACCTGTGCAAGGATATTGAGTTTTACTTCAAAATCGTCTCCGCTATGCTTTTGTATCCTATGCGTGCCTAGTGGGGTGCTTCGTCTTAGTTTTCGTTTGCCATCTAGGTGTTCTTTTATACGGATACACAAAGGTCTACCCGTTTCGCCAATATATTCATCTCCGCAATTATTACAAGAGATCAGGTATATCGTACCTGAACTCATGCAATCACCGTCCCTGTCATAAGGGCAAATTACGCAATTTGCTGTTTCACATAGATGGTCATACAGGCGGTTACGAACTAATTGACGACGTAGAGTAGCCGGTGGTATTTCAACTATCGCTACCGATTCCTCAAGATCTGCCCTTCTTAAGCATCGTCTTATAGCTGCGCTTACTTCGTCGCTTATAAAAGGCAACATAAACGGGATTTTGTTTTGGCCAAGCGTTTCGCGTGGGCGCGTCGTTCTCCTTGTAAACTTATCTCGTGGGGTTACTATTTCGTAGCCATTGGAGATGGCTATTTGCTGGTTATCTCGTGGGGTTACTATTTCGTAGCCATTGGAGATGGCTATTTGCCGGGCCAAGTCGCGCGATTCTTCCTTTAGTTCACTGGTAGTGCACACAGAGGTGGCTGTTCGAAACATGTTTCTCACAATCGCCCTCTTTGTGTGTGAAGGGCGGGAAGAAAGGAAATGAACAAGGATGTTCTTGTTACTTGGTTTTCGATACCACTTTGTCAGGTTACCGCTACTTGATAGGTTTATTTGATTATTATTACTGTTACTATTACTACTATTATTATTTGGACACCTGTGCAAGGATATTGAGTTTTACTTCAAAATCGTCTCCGCTATGCTTTTGTATCCTATGCGTGCCTAGTGGGGTGCTTCGTCTTAGTTTTCGTTTGCCATCTAGGTGTTCTTTTATACGGATACACAAAGGTCTACCCGTTTCGCCAATATATTCATCTCCGCAATTATTACAAGAGATCAGGTATATCGTACCACGCCATTAGCATTAGAGGCACTATTATTATATTTTCACCGCTATATTTTATTCCTACTATCATTATCTACAGCTGACACTCTCACCATCATCAGTAGGCATTTCGTTAGCCAGTCATTTGTTATGCAGGTTTGGTTTCTGGTCGCTGAATCGACCTGTGGGCCGCCTTCTGCTTTCTCGCCTTCCCTCTCTCCTATGTAAACACGATGTTGGCGTCGAGTCCATAGAATGAGTGTCCAATCCCCAGCTTGGCGTGAAGCGAATCCGTGCCACCGATGTCCCGCACGTAAGCAACTACGTCCATGTGGCGTCGGCCGCTGTGGACTGCGCTTAGTCTTTCGCCGCGCGCCGTGTGCAATGCAAATTCGGCCATTAAACTCTTCTCTTTCTATTTATTATTTGCTGCGTACTCTTTTTAACGGCAGAGTATATTTCGAAATATAACTTCAATGATGCTGAGATATTTGGAAAAATCCGGACCGCAGGTGTCTGCGGTGGGGAACGAACGCGCTATTGTCCTTTCCGGGTAGTAACGCGTTCACCACCACACCACGTGGGTCCTTCGTTTCGCCTGTCTCTCAGCTAGTTCTATCGATCTGTTCCGTCAGCAATCACCCGTCATCGGGATTGATTTGGAGGGCCCAAGTCGGCAACGATTGCATCGGCGGAGGCATCTTCTCTTCTTTTGTAAATTATTAGCCTTAAGAGGTATCTTTTCGCTGATCATGTCTGGTTGCATAGGCTATTAATCGATGAATACTACGAAATGGATACGAATTGGAAACAGTCATGATATGCATTGATATCAAGGCATACCGTCATTTGCTTGTGACATCGATAACTTTTCCGTCAACACTGTGAAGAACTTTATCACGGAATGCTTTTCTTCGTTGAAGCTAATATCGCTAGTATTCCTGTCATTTACGTAACGGTTAAGTTTAGAATGATCGGCATCCCTACTTCAGCAGTAATTTTTGAAGCTAATAAAAATTGGCTTTCGAAGAAGAAAAAACGATTCTCACAACTCTCCGAGTGAATAACAGTGCTCAAGAATTACAAAACATGCCTCTAGGTCTATAAACGGACCTTTTTCTGGAAACCAAGATAGCGAAGTGTTTATTGTCTGTTCTGCTTTTTCCGATACAATCAGAAGTGCGTTTACTAGCAGGTCTCATTAGCATATGCGATAGCCTCTCTTGGTTAAACTGAGTTCTTGGCTTCCTAGTAATCACATGTAGATCTCCGTATTGGCTGCATGCCATGAATTTCAATCGTGCATTGTCTCCGATGCTCGTTCAGTCGCTATGACATCCGTGTGACATTCAGATGAGCGAGGTCCAGATATCGGCCGCCGACCGACAGCTCATCGTCGAGTTGCGGTCGAGGATCCACAACGAGCTGCAGCTGGTGCCGTCGTATTCCGACGACTTATCGCTTCTACGATGGCTAGTCGGATGGGATCGCAAAGTGGGTGAGTTTGACTATAAACAACAGGAGGACTGTGTTAGACCATGAGAGAAAAAGAAAGTCGTTTCTATGCGTTGAATTCGATGCTGGTTGTGCAATCGCGCACACTTCAAAAAGTGTATAGATGTATAGCTATTTGATTCCATTCATATGTCAGAAAAGTCATTATGCTTCTTTTCAGCTTCAAAGTTTTTTTACTGTTTAACCTTCTTTGCGAATAATTTGGTGTTTCTTACAATTAAATCTAAGCCTCTGTGTAATTCATTTACTTCATACCTGGTTTTATTCCTTCATTAGTCGACACTTGACTGACACATTATCGAACATCCGTTTTTTCACTCGATTGGGCACCTGGGCAGAAAACAAATTTGATAAATGAACGCCAGAATTGGCAAAGTCGTCAGAAGGCTGACCTAGGGGCATCGAGGAAATTCACAACGGTTTTACATCGGTATCGGTCATAAGGGCTCGACTCTCTTCATGAATTGTTTGTAGAACTGCAAAACAATCTTTGGATGCATTTATGACTGTAATAAATAATAGAGCTTCGCCTTGCCAAAATAGTAATGCTTCTTTGTTCACTGTTTTCGTATGTCATCCACATGCAATGTGGTCACCAAATCTCAGATACCACGTCTTAAAAAGGTTTTTGCGGCCATATTGGAGTTTCCCACAACTTTTTTTCTATATCATCTATGTAGAAGAGTGTGTGGCGCAGTAAGCGGAGGCGCCCTTCGACACACACACGGGATCGGACCCCGTGCCCGTGGCTCACCAAGCCTTCCATCACTCCGGTGTCTGCAAATTGGCACCAAACTTGTCTGAGACGATAGCAGTACTGACTCGATACATCGGTAGGCCACCGCGAGTCATTCATTTCAAAGGCCAGGTATGCATTCAACCACCTCCAAGGATGCTTGATGAAGTCGAATGCATGGCGCATCCTTGAGCGATTGTTCAAGTCCGGGAGCTTTATACTTTAGCCTTATTATCACCCGTATAGCGCAGTGTTTTGAAGTGCTCAGAATTAAACACGTGGTTGCCGACCTAACTCCTGAGCTCACTTATGCGCCTATCCCTCCAGGGTGGCTGTTTGCTAAGAAGCGTACCTGAGAAAACTTTTCACCATTCTAGAAAAGGCGGAGACCGTCAGCTGTGAACAGGAGGAAGAGCTTCAACAGGAACACCTAGATTATATCAGGGTTAGATTCTCGAGAAAATCACACTAAGTAGTGCTAAAACTGCTTTCGTGGAAGCAAAAAAAATCCACAGACAGCAGCTGAATGTACGCGCAAATTCGAACACCTTCATAGATGGACGGGCCATATATATGCAGGAGAATGAACAGAATGAGAGAATTTATGAGACTTCACGGCTCCACGCAGTCGTCCACATGAGTCATTTCGTAAACGGTTTCATTTTGTACGCTGTGACATTCACATCTACTCGTTCCGAATTTGGTGCAAGCACTCCATCGTGCTATTTGCTGCCACACAGAGATGGAGGGTTTGTTTTGAACAGGGCGTGGGGTAGAATAAACAAACATCTGTGATGCAGAGCACATCTTACCACTGCGCTGCACACGTAACGAGAAATAATAGGAAAAAAATCGTCATATTGAGAGGAGTTCAACTTATGCGAAAATCTTTCGAAACCGACCTTCCCTAAGCCTCGGTGTGACTAATCAATATGTATTCTTTCTTGATAAGCTTGCACGAGGTTGATAAATATATTTATTTTCGGCTAACGTTTCGACGTCTTCGTCTTCCTCAGAGCCGGTGATCCGAGTCGATGGTCCATGCTTGTTGTTCGCCTCGACGTTGCGTCTTCGCCTTCGTGTCGAGCCAGATCTTCCTCAGTGAGCCATCTTCTCGAATGAGGCATCCTCACTCAGTGATGCGCTTTTATACACGATGCTGATGGTGGATATATAATGACAATGTCCGGTGGTAATGACTTGTATTTCTTCTGGACATACATCATTGCGCACATCGTGCAGAGGTCCGTGTATTATCAGCTAGCACAAAGCGTAGTAATATTTCGAAACCGACCTTCCCTAACCCCGGTGTGACTAATCAATATGTATTCTTTCTTGATAAGCTTGCACGAGGTTGATAAATATATTTACAAGCACAACAAGCATGGACCATCGACTCGGATCACCGGCTCTGAGGAAGACGAAGACGTCGAAACGTTAGCCGAAAATAAATATATTTATCAACCTCGTGCAAGCTTATCAAGAAAGAATACATATGCGAAAATCATCTGTTTGGTTATAGTTTCTCCTTAAGCTCTGCGTAATTAGAGATTGTGCTCATTCTGTCATCGCTGAATTGAATTGAGTTAATGAGAAGTATGATCAAAGTGCTTTGAAACCTTCATGTACTGGACAACAAGAAGCTTACTTGCTAGATTTTGAATACGAAAACAAAAGGCGATATTGTATGAGCAGAGATGATGATTTCTCCTTCTATAGATCTGGTCGTGACGAAGATTAAGTTTTCCTTACGAGCTATCCATGCACTGGGGCTGCACAAGGAAGACCTTTCAACTCTCGAAAAAATAACGGCCAAGTGTGACGAATGCGGCAAAGTCTTTCAGTACTTGCCAGGTATGTAATGAAGTTAGTAGAATATTCTCGGAGGAAACCAGGCCGTTGATGACTTCGTTATAATAAGAATCTTTCGCTCAACAAGTTGTATAGATAGATGTCGTTGTTTATTTATTTGGGGATCGGTTTGCTCGACTTGTGATAATTTGTTTGCTTAACTTGTCATAAGCCCTTGAAGAATAACAATTTCTGCTTACACCCGGTTGCTACGCATCTTTTATTGTGGGTCTTCGTGATAGTGAAAGCTTATCAGTAAACCAAGATATTGGCTATCCATAGCGTCGTTAGGTGAGAGTCAGTATTGAAAATCTTTAAACAACAGCTTTTTGATGGCGAACGGTTGTTATGGAATAGTAAAATTACACGAAACAAATTTACAGTGAAAAGTATTTCAACTAGAAAACGTAGGATCTTCAAAGTGACCGTGCTTAGTTAACAGTGATTAAAATAGTCTTTATTCATTCGCTAGATGAAAAGACTGAAGGATAAAGCCTTTTCCTAGCACTTCCTTTTTCAGGATCTCTGCTTGGTTTCGACAAGCAAGGGAATGTTGTTTCCATGCAGCTGGTAGGCCGCCTTGACGCCACTGGAATTCTCAACGGCGCCCGGAATTCCGACCTCTACCGCATGCGAATCGTCGAGAGCGAAGGGATCATGCAGATCATTAGGTAGCAATACTAGTTTTCGCTTCATGAAGTGCCAAAATGAAAGCGAGAAGCCCTCGGCGTAGTGTTTTCGACGCGGTACGGGGCGATTATGTGAAGCTGAGGTGATAGCCACAGTAGTCATAGCTAAACAAAACTGTTGACAAACTTAACCTTTTTTTATTTACTGCCTATTCTTCTTAGTGGCAGGGTATGTTGCGAAATATAACTTCTATAAGGCTGAGATATTTGCAAAACTCCTGACCGCAGGTGTCTGCGGTAGGGAACGAACGCGCTATTGTCCGTCCTTTCCGGGTATTAACACGTTAACCACAATACCATACGGGTGCTTCGTTTCGCTTGTCTCTCGGTTAGTTCTGTCGATCACTGCCATCAGCAATCATCCGTCAACGGGATTGATCTGGGGGCCCAAATTGGTATTGAACCTAGTTAAGCTGTAGTTAAGTTAATATAGTTACAATCACAATCCTAACCTTTTTTATTTACCGTCTATTCTTTTTAATGGCAAGGTATGTTGCGAAATATAACTTCTATGATGCTGAGATATTTGCAAAACTCCGGACCGCAGGTGTTTGCGGTGGGGAACGAACCCGCCATCACCCTTTCTGGGGGCCAACACGCTCACCATAACGCCATGCGAGTCCTTTGTTTCGTCTGTCTCTCAGCTTGTTCTGTCTCTCAGCCTCAGCTTAACTGGATTCAATACCGATGTGGGCTCCCCAGATCAGTCCCGTTGACAGGTGATTGATGATGGCACTGATCGATAGAACTAGCTAAGAGACAGACGAAACGAAGGACCCGCATGGTGTGGTGGTGAACTGTTGACAAAGTTATTAGGCCGTTGGGCTGCGCACGCAATTAAGGTCGCGAAGCTCATCTTTAGTTGTGAAGAAAGTTTTGAGCTCATGTATACAAAATGCTTTCAATCACGGCTTTCATTTTTTATACACGCTCATCGTCCTCTTTTTAACCAAAACGGAAAGCTCTAAAAAGCCCTCAGTGTTCATCAATCCCTGAGGGATGCGCCATGCATTCGACTTCATTAAATGTCGTTCGGAGGTGATTAAGTGCATATGGCCTTTACAATGACTCACGGTGGCCAACCGATGTATCGAGCCAGTGCTGTTATCCTCCCAGACAAGTTTGGTATCAATTTGCCGACCCCAGAGGGATGGAAGGCTTTGTGGGCTTTGGTCGCGGGGATCGATTCCATGTGTGTGTTGCAGGGCACCCCCGACCACTGCGCTACACACGCCCTTAATGAAAACGTATTAAGAGTAATTAATTAAAAGAAAGAATTTTTTTGGAGGGACACCCAATCAAACAGATTTCTTACCGGTGAAATGAACATAAAAACAAGCAAAAGTATGGAAATACGGCTTCGGTATAGCTCAATAGAGAGTGTGAAGGAGTGTGCTGTAAAGCCTACTTCAATTTTAACCTCTTTATTTACTGCCTATTCTTTTTGACGGCAGAGTATGTTGCGAAATATAACTTCCATAATGCTGAGCTATTTCCAAAACTCCGGACCGCAGGTGTCCGCGGTGCGGAGCGAACGCGCTATTGTACTTCCCGGGGAGTAACACGTTCACCACCACACCATGCGATGCGATTCCTTCGTTTCACCTGTCTCTCAGCTAATTCTATTGATGTTTTGCTATCAACAATCACCCGTCAACGGGATTGATCCCACCGCAGATACCTGCGGTCCGGTGTTTTGCAAATATCTCAACATTATAGAAAAAAACCTACTTCATTTATTATTGAAAGATCATAAGATATGGCAATTACTTATAATAAATAGCCCACAAGAGCGTGTGATGCAGTTGTTGGAGACGCCACTACCACACACACGTGGAATCGATCCCCTTGCCCATGGCCCCACACCCCGTGGTCGGCAAATTGGTACCAGACTTGTCTGGGAGGATGGCAGCACTTACTCAATAGATCGGTGGGTCACCGTGAGTCATTGTAAAAGCCTATGCATTCAGTCACCTCCAACGATACTTAAAGAAGTGGAATGTATGGGGCATCCCTCAGGGATTGATCAACTCCGAGAGCTTTATCCTTTATCCTTCAATAGATAGCCTCCACCATATTACGTTTTTTAAGGGCTCTGGAAAAGAAACATGGCAAGAAGTTTGGGACGACGACCATTATTGATCTAGATGGTGCGAGTTTATCGCGATTGGACGTGCAAGCGGTGAAGGTCGTCAACACCATTTTAGCCCAATTGCAAGTGGGGTCATTATCTGCTTAGATTTCGCCACATTTTGTATCCTTGATGCACTTAATATGTGTTAGGAGCAATAAAACCATAATGATGCAGTGATATTAGAAAAACTCTGGTCCGCAGGTGTCTGCGATGAGGATCGAACATGCATTCACTCTTTCCGGTAGCTAACGCGTTTATCACCACACCATGCGGGTTTTTCGTTTCGCCTGTCTTTCACCTGGAAGGGATTAGTTCCGTTATTATATCAATTTCCCAATTTTTATCTTCGTCTGTAGAGTCCTCACTCGAATCATGCTCAACGGTGTTAGCAGAATCTTGGATAAACGACGTTCAGCTAGCAAGCGGGGTTTTTAAAAGGATTCAGCACGATATGTCCATATGCACAATAACGAGCCTGATTGTGTTTTTACGCTTCGCGCTAGCTGATAATGATGTAGACTACTTCAGGATAGATTATCCTGGAAAAAACAACTTATTATCACCTGATAGTCGTATCAACAACAACTGCCCTCTATAAAAGAGCATTGCCAAATGAGGTTGCTTCATTTGAGCGGCGATCCACTGAAGAAGATCCGACTCGGTACCACGACGAAAATATTACATTGAAAGTACGAAGAACTGTGGACACCAACTCGGATCATCGGCTCTGAGGAAGACGAAGGCGTCGAAACGTCGGCCGAATAAAATTTGCATAACAACCTCTGCTTGCTGAACGATCTAAACACATGTTGAAGCTGATTGTATTCGCGATAGTACAAGAGACCATATGTTTTAAAAGTAAAAGAAACCTTCATTAACTTCGAGAAGACCTTGGATTGAGTTGAGAAAGAGGGGATCACAGAAGTTCTGGACAGTTTGGGTGTGTTTCCTGGCTGTACAAAGATTTCTCATAAGCCATACAATAATTTCGTAATCAGAATCTCATCACTCTAAATGGTTGTCATTGACATAAAGAAGAGAAAGGGAAGGGTAGACTTCAGCTCGTGAGAGCTTGTGAGGAGTGAAGTAGTATATTATGAGGGTGAATGGGCGGTAGCTTTATCACCTTCACTTTGCTAGCAAATAAAAATAAAATGATAAAGTTCCCAAGATCGGCTTTCTATTAACCTCAGCATTGAATTATAAATGTGTCGTTTTCTTTTTCAGTAGTCGCGAGGTTGTTATTCAGCACACATTCACTTCCATACACATAGAACACATGCAACACAGCGGTAGCTGACGTTTCGGCAGCATCGCCTTCTTCAGAGCCTGGAAGGCTAAAAGAATAAAGCTCTTGACGTTGATCAATCCTTGAAGGATGCGCTATGCATTCGACTTCACTAAGCAGCGTTTGGAAGTGATTGAATACATATATACCCTTTAAAATAACTCATGGTGACCTACTGATATATCGAGCCAGTGCTGCCATCCTCCCAGACATGTCTGGTACCAATTTGCCGACCATGGAGGGATGGAAGGCTTGGTGGGCCATGGGCGTGAGGATCGAGTCCACGTGTGTGTTGCAGGGCGTCTGCGAGCACTGAGCCGAGCCACACGCGTCCTAACTTTGCTAATACATCGCCTTAATAAGAATAAGTCATTAGCCAAGAAAAACGAATACTCGCAAATTTCGACACCGCTTACTTTAATATTGCTTTTCCGTTGAGCCAAAAAGCGACGTCATGGAGAACGATTTCGCTTCCGATGTCTCACTATTTCACGTATAGTTTTGTGTGTCTAGGTCTGTAAGTCATCATAATGACGAGCTAACTCCAGGGCTTCTGTGGAATGGGCGGCTCCTGGAGGATATCAATACAGTAGAGAGAGAAAAAAATTAACAGGTTTCGTCCTCAAAATTTTGATTCCTTCTGTGCATCTGCGTGTATAAACAGAATGAGAGCTAATGAATGACAGATGATGACTATGCCTAATCGAAAACGGTATCCAGTGTGTAATGCTATGAGTATCGCGTATCACGTAAATAAGAGAAGAAATAAGGAGTTCCAAGCTTTTAGACATACGTGAGGAAACGATTGCCAGATGCGTTACCGTCTACGACAAGGTAGTAAAAATTTAGGTGAAAGGGCCACGTAACACGTCTTAACGACAATGTTATAACAAGATCTTTTAGCACTGCAGTGTCTGACGGATTGTAAAAGGTACAACAGACCAAATGGTCAGATTTCTTTAACTATAACCTAGAAGAAATATTGTGATCCTTGAGATGCTCAAGAGAAAAAACATACTGGGTAACATTGCCACATGAGAGAGACAAATGACTGCTTTGTTGGCGACTTCTTGAGTGACTCAAAATCAACGGAAAATCTAATTAACACCTATTAAGGTCATTTAGTGTGTTAATGATGTTCGGCAACTCTAGCGTTTTCTAGAATTCACATGGATGCTTCTTGTCTGTATTTCACATACCTCATTATGCTTAATTTGTGTCTTCGACTGTGTTCATCTCGGGCAAGTTCACCCTCGTAGAACACTCGACTTGAATCATTGCAACCCAGATTATGGCGAACAATAGAGCTGAAACATCACTCAAAGTAAAGATTTTTGTCGACCTCATGAGCTTCATTGTTTCTGTGCAACAGGAGCTGATTTTTTTTTGAAGGGAAATTATGTCCACAAAAGCGAATGCCGAGGTTTAAGCTCTTCAGTATTTGCTTGGTGAACTCAAAACATTTCTGCTATCGTATATGGAATCCATATATGACCGTACCATCGACATGTTGCTGGAATAAACTGCTAGTGATAATTTCTAATATTTTAACTTTGTGTAATTGTACATGTGATACTTTTAAGTGAGGTTGCACCATTCATGAGGATCTACACTACGCATTGATGTCAGCGCAGTGGCTGTGGAAATGAACCGCCAAATGTTTCTTTGAGCTAGAGCGACGAATACGGATCTGCCTATAGATAACTTGCGTGATTTTACATATGTGGAAGTTGGTGCATAAGCTCTGTCATTTACAGACGAATTTGCTACCGACCTTGGTAGGATCAAACGCTTAATCAGGACAGGTACGAGCGATGTGCAAGCGATAATTAGTGCTTGTCCTATCGAAAATTTAATTCAGAGCGTGTCAGTAGGTTATTGTTGTGCAAATGAGTCTTCGTTAAAGGAAACTTTGTTACAAGCTCAAAAAATAGTGCGAGATTTTCGAACAATGTTATTTAGCAGTTCAGACCTTAGTCAAGATTTTGGGGTGCCAAAGAAATAATACAGAGGTGTTTTCAAGGCCCATCGGTTTTCTTTCAAATCATGTATGCACTTTCAGGAGATGTTTCCTGACGTTCTTCGCAAGGTCTTCTTGATAAATGTGCCACCATTTCTGCAAGTTTTATGGAACATGGTGTCACCATGCTTAGCAAAACAAACTCAGGAAAAAATTGAAATTCTTGGAAGTAACTGGAAGGATGTGCTGCGGGTGAGTAGAAGAAGAAAAACGTTGTCACCTTATCTACAACGCGATTTCAGGGCAAATAGCCCAAGAATTTTTTTTGAACTGTTACGCCATGTGTCGGAGGTTTCGATGTTAGGAAAAAAATGTTGCCTTTCGTTAATGCATCTTAATAGAGAATAATGACGAGTACATGGCCGGCTTTGCAGCAAGGATGGCAATGGACTCGTATGTGGCAGCCACGTTCTCACCGATAAACACCAGGTTTATTTACAATCTGCTTGTATATGACCCTAACCATCCCACCTTATACTTCCCAGTTGCTTCGATCGCAAGACGATGCGAGCTCCCCATCCCTACGGCATCGGCAAAACTACCAAACTTGGCTCGACTCTGAGTTAAGATACTGAGTTAAATTGGAAGATTTCTGCTATTCCTTGTATAGGACAAATATGAATTCAATTACTTCTAAAATTCTCTAAAGTTCTTAACGGAGTTTTGCACATGAGCACCAATACCGACACTATCTACATAATATTTAGTTCTTATTTACTGCCTATTATAATTTTTTTCGGCAGGGCATGCTGTGAAATACGTCCACTAAGATGCTGAGATATTTGCGAAACTTGGAGCCCAGACCGGATTCGATTCCCACTTATGATTGATTGCTTATAGCACCGCTGAGTAGAAAACTGGTTGAGAGAGGCAGAGCACAAGCCTCAGTGGTGCAGTGGGTAACACGTTCACCTCGGAAAGGTTGGACACGAGCTCAATTATGGGATGGGGTCGGAGTTTTGCAATTATGCGCATATATATGTATATATACATATATATATATATATGCGTATTCACACGCATAATTTGTCGTTTTTAAGCCATAGAAATCCGGCTGATATTTAGATATAGAACTGCTCTATAAAACTAGCTGTATTTTTGGACTGTTTAAACCGTCAGTTTTCGTAGTCTTCTTTTACTCGAAATCAATCCCGTTTGTCCACTTACCGTAGGATAATAACTTTTCAGGAAGTGGTTGGAGAAGAGGTTTTATACGAGAATTGGGGCGGTATCCGCAAGGCCGACACTCCATTTGGTCATGTACGATTGGGCGGGAAAGTTCCCGATGAGCTAAAGTGAAGTCAATCACCTTCTTCATATCAACAAGTTACACTTTACTATTATGTGAACGCTTATTTTCAGTTATTGTTTCTCTTCAATTAATTGCCCTTTATTAAGGTATGATAGATCTAAAGACTTACCTGCCGAGAGGTTGCAAAAGCTTGTCATTCCAGCCAGATCAACGAACTTCATTCCCGTTGAAGTTGACGGTTTGTGGATCATTATCAATGCATTCATTTTTCTGTGACCACTGTTAGATATAATTTGAAGATGTTTTTTCTATTTCTTTGCGAAATTAAGGGCTCTTGGTAAACATGCGTCTCAGTTTAATCCAAAACCTTCATCCGCTCAGGGTAGATGAGAAGTTGCCTCTAGAAGTCTTTTCGTAGACAATAAACTGTTGAGTTACGCATCATTTAGCACTTATAGACGTAAAACTGTATCGATCTAAGCTACAATGCTCCACTGAAAAGTTCTTTGTAGTTCTTATCAGTGGCTGCTTTTGAACTTTGCTTTCTTGACCATCTAGTTGTCGACGTTGTGACCTTTATATCCAAAACCACAATATCGCCATCAGATCTAAATCAAGTTTCTTCGAGACCAGTCGTGAAGTTGACCTGTTCACACCACTTAAACGACCCTGCCTCCAGTACTCTCCAATATTTGTAAGACTGAACTTTGAAGCATAAGCGACGGGTTGCAATGTCATTGAGGAAAAAAGGAATAGAGCTTGCACGCTCCCTCGCATCTAATGTTTCTGATTATCCCTTTTAAACCACAGATTCTCTTACGTCGAGGTTGCGAGTTTGCGAAATTTGTTGGCATACAAAGATCAACGAACAGAGAATCATGAACAGAAACATTTCTATATTCTCGTACTCTTCTTCCGCAAAACCGCATTATTAGCACTTTTCAGGCCATCAGATTGGTCGAAGAATCGTATGGTGGTGGCGTTTGCAATCAAACGACGTTGGATTCGCCGTATGCCGTTCATCCCCAGGACATGAAAATGTATTTTTAACAGAAATTGTTCTACTTTATTCGATATCCATGTTATGTGAGATGAATTTGTTAATATGGTATTGAAGTGAAAAACAAGCCTCAACACATAGCTAATGAAGTTGTTCGGATTTAATTCCTAGAAACCCATGCATAGAAAATCAATGCCTACGAATTTGTTAAAATCCAGAGGTGGTCCGTTCAAATATGTTTATCAGGCTTTCATTTATTGTTTCAATTTGAATGTTTTTTTGTAATATAAGCAAAATTACATGGATCATAGGAGTGTCCTCCAACTGGCAGCATTTAAATCCCTCTAGACAACATTATCGTCATAGACAACGACTTGCTAAGGAATAAGACAGCCCACTAGATATCAGTTTTAAAAAATCAGATAAAGGATGCATTTCAATTCTCTAAAACCGGAAAGAGCAGCTTACTCCCAACCATGTCCAGGTAGAGATCAAACAACAAATTCAGGTTGCAGAGCATGACGATGACTTCGTAGTACAACCAAAATTCCGACTTCAGACCGATTTTGTACCGGAAGATGGCGAGGTGAGCACAGTTAATGCCCGTTAATATTCGTTGTTTTTGAAAAACATTCAAGAGGTTTATTATAATTTAATTTAATTACCCAGGTTTAATTACCCAGGTTTATTATAATGTTTGTTTATACACAAAAGTTGAGCTTTCTGTGGATTTCACTTACTTTAGCGCCTAGAACGGTCAAGATAACTGCAACCCAGAAGCCAATCGCCTCCACAGCCTTAACGGAAAAGCCGCGATGCCTAGATTTCAACCCCAGTAAAAGCAGAGCAGCTTGTTCACACAATCGCCGTTTCTATAAGTCCTCCACTGAGTGCTTCACATCGAGACAAACTGCGTAAAGTCCACATGTGTGCATCCCTCTCACGTTATAATATCAGCCTAATACTAACATATCCGGAAATCCCTGCATCAAGAAGTGGTACCAAGAACCGGGTAACAAAAATATACTGGTCCATCACCTCTTTTCTCACCATTCACACACAAAAGAGCTGTTCTCAAAAAAATGTTACGATCAGTCACCAGTGTTTGCACAGCGAGAGAGCAGAAGGAGATATCCCTGAAAATGGCGACACAAATAGCCATTTCCAATGGTTGCTAGACGATTCTCCTCGGAGCAAGTTTAGAGCAAGAACCACGCTCCCAAACGATGTGTCTCGCAATAATAAGGTTTTGTTTATCCTGCCCTTTATCCCCATCGAAATAAGCATTACTGTAAAACTTTTTTTCAGAAGGGCCGGTTAAAAAGGATCGGTAGCAGTAAATGAAATACCGCCGAACACTCTAAGATGCCAGCTAGTTTGAAACCGCTTGTATAACCGTCTATGTCCTTTTTTATTTTAGATGACACGTTTTCACATCTGCGCACATGCTAGCATTATTGCATTCGATTCGTTTTCTTGGCATCCATCGTCCACAATGGTCTGCGAATATTTCGCATGCTATCTCAACTGCTGCTTGAGCATTTGGTCTTCTTCATGAATGTCGTAGAATGCTGGTCGTGTCGATCCTCCTTGCAATCTTGGAGATAGCTGGCTAAGGCATTACCGCGTGGACTGGAGGAGGGCGTTGAAGAGGGGGTCGAACTAGCGCCTTTGCCTCCTGATCGGCGGCATCAATAATCACTGCACTATCCCTATCCCGTTTTACCTATTTGAATATTTAAATGCTCCCGACTGAGTAGTACGGACCCACGCATATGCTACATTCGTTCCATCCTTTCGCTTTCGTCTTCTATAAATGTGGTGCGTCCCGAGAATCAGGACATCTGCAGGTGTCATTCTCTGATCTATAGATCATTCCCAGCTGAAAGCGCAGCAAATAAAGTGATTAAGGTTCCGTTTCTCGCTCCTATTAAAGGACGCTTTGTCTCTGTTGTCCACTGTCGTCCTTCCCACGAACTCCAGTCATATGATTACTTCACTTCTGATCTATCGATATCTATTCAATACGCATCCTCTTCTTGCTTGAAGGTGAACTTTTTATATGTCTCAAATACAAGGTCTGACTTGATGTTGCAGACACGAGGAACATTTTTTAAAATACACGCATCAATGCTACGTAGCATAGTTGTAGAAGGGCCGTCTAACGAAACGAAGGTGAGCGAGAACTTCCAGGTTTGGTAGTCGATCGGCTGTGGTTCTCTCAAGAATTTTCTCTCTATTAACTCTTTGCTGACTTCAGGATGAATGAAAAACCGTCGTAGGGCTTCTCCAGCAACGACCTAACGATCTAAAACTAGAAACTAAAAATGCATCTTTCTTTCTTCTTGTTTGATATGAGAACTTTAATGGAATGCTCTTCTACGTTTGCAGTTTCTCCACCAACGGCTTGAGACGTGTGGAGTGGAATCTTACTTACTTATACTTGAATACTTGAATGACCTGTCCTCACTGATTGTGCGGCCTCAGTATAATCTCAATTTTTTGGAGATTTGCTGGTTAAGCCGTTGTGGTTCCCTGGAATCCCGAGCTCAGCCTGGCCAAAGACATCCCCAGGCCCCAGGTCTTCACCACCACAGGTGATTGCAGCCCTTGTAGATTAGAGGGAAATCTAACACTATGCGACTTTGATACCAGGACGGTGGTGGATTCTGGTATTGGTTTACTCTCCTAGGCTTCCTGATGGAAACGCCGGACTCCTTCTTAGCTTGGGAGGCCCTGCCAGGGGATAAATCTCCGCTGTACATCGCAATCCGACACCCAGGAACACCTCCCAGCCACCACGAGGCGGTAAATTGTTGGAAGGGAGTGGAATCTAACTTTAGTAAAACATTTATTCATACCGACCGTCATTTAACCTCGGTAGTGAAATAATCAACTTGTTTAAAGTGTTGAGACTGTACGAGATTGATAAAATTGTTTTATTTGGCTATCGTTTCGACGTTTTCGCCTTCATCAGAGCCAATGATCCGAGTCGATGCTCCACAGTTGTTCTTCTTCTCGATGTCGCGTCCTTGTTATCGCACCGAGACGGATCCTCTCGTCAGTGGAACACCAAACGAATGAGACATGCTCAGCCTGCGGTGCTCTTTTACAATTAATTCTAATTTTCTATTCTTCCAATTTCAGTTCCCTTCTATTCTTAAACAACTCCTTGGTTGTGGTGGCGATACTATTCGAGATTCGTAAACAGGGAAGCAACGTCTGTTAGGCACAGTTTTTAAGTTTTTCAACAGGCAACTCATATTCTACTTCGAGTCCTTATTATTACAGTTATATAGAGAAAAGATGTTGTCTTGATACTTTGTCAGTCTAGTTGCACCTCGTATCTTAAGGACGATCGACTAAAAGTAGCTGTGTTCTGCTGCCTTAACGAAACTATTCAAGTTAAGGTTCAAAAACACTATTACGATGTTTAAGTGCAGAGCAAGAAGCAGCCTCTATGTTACGTTTACGTAATGTTTTGATCCAATTGCAATGACGTCTTATGCAACCCGAAAGTTTGGACATCTCTCTTCTGTTGCCTCACTTCCCATTATGCAGGATACCTACTGAGTATACTGATGCTAGCTTCTTGTTCGTTGAGCTTTTTCCCTTGAGTTTCGCCGCATTCCATCACTCGGCTTTATGTGGATCTCAGAGGGATTTACGGTTTTGTTATCACACTTCCACCACGATAGTGCAGTTTCGTTTCTTTAATTTGCTTTTAGCTGAGCTTCCAAATGTTGATGTCCAGTTGCTCATTTTGGAGAATTCTGCCAAGAAAACGAACAAGATGAGATTACAAATCATTTGGGGTTTTAGTTTAGTCCAATTGATGATCGATATATATTCTATGACATTATTATCACTTTATTTTTTCGTCATCTTTGTCAGATGAAGTTTATAAGTGAAGTGAAATTTCCGTTTCAGACTCTCGCCGAAGAACCTGGTGTGTATAAGTTCGTATTTGATAACACGCATAGCAGTCTGCGTTCGAAAACGGTGCAATACTGTATAGAAGTTAAAAATTGATGTTTCTGTACCATCATAACGAAGTGAATGTATTTGTTCCAGTATATATGTTCTTGTTCTGTATGTTATGTTATGTTCTACGGCGCGTGTGGCGCAGTGGTTGGAGGCTCCCTACAACACACACGTGGAATCGATCCTCGCGCCCATGGCCCACCAAGCCATCCATCCCTCCGGGGTCGGCAAATTGGTACCAGATTTGTATGGGCGGATAACAGCACTGGCTTGATCCATCAATAGGCGACCACGAGTTATTTTGCTGTCTGTCGTCTATAATCTTTTTACTCGAGTCGTCCTGAACAGTATTGACAGAAAAGTGGGCGAGGGACGGCTATGTGAGCATGTATGGCTTCGAAAATAGTTCAGTACGACAAGCACCATTAACACGGTAAGAGAACAACTGAAATATCGCGAGAATACGACAGACCGCTCTGCCTTGCTTAAAGAGCCGGAAAGAGCCGGCTTAAAGAAAGCGTTTGTCCCAATTGAAGCAGAAGTTGTAGTAAACGTTCCTGACACCTTCGATATCGCTACTCCGCATATAAAACTCCGTCATGAGCTATGTAACAATTTCGCAACCAAAATATCACTACAGCGATATGAAAGTCGACGTGAAGAGGAAGATTCGGCAAAGTAATACCATTTGGCCAACATTGTACACTGGTAGGATAAAATATTAGTGAACATCGATAATCGGAACTGCATAATCTAGGCTTCAATTCCACGGTTTTACTTCATCTTCAGTCCTCAAGATTGGCTGTCGCTGGTGGTTCGGAGAGCGCTGTGCCTCCTTCCGATAACAATTCTTCTAACAACGCAGCGGCTCCTGTTATAATGGTCGAATTAAGATCTCAAAAGATAGAAATCGAGTGCTAGCAGGTCGGTGAACACCTATCCACTGTCTGGAAGCATTTCTCCGTTGTTTCATCAAAGAGAGTAGTTGAAGGTGGCACTCAAAATTCCCCCTTTAGCATGAACAACTTCGATCAATCACAACATTCAGGGCATTCTCAACGATATTAAGAGTTATCGGAAGTTAAAAGTAGCTAAATGTTAGCAGATACAGATCCCACGGAAAATTATATACGACTGCGTTCACGGTGTAAATGACAAAATCGATTAATAAACCGAGTTTAAAGTTGTTGCATGCCTAAGTAGTGAATATTGATCTTTTTGCTTAAGATAGCTCATATTTATGTGAATTGGAGTTTATCAACAACGAGTTCTCTTTTATCAATGAGTTACGGTCAAGAAGTTCACCTCGCACTTTATGCGTAGATAGGACCTTTAGATGCAACAACCTCTGCAACACAGCTTTCCACAAGTAGCCCACGGCTCGAAGTTAAAATTCATAGAAAAGACGAGAAAGGGGAAGCAAAAGCGGTCCAACTATTCTGGGCTTTCTAACCGTCCTTCCAGGCGGTCGCTTTCCATTCCGCAAAGACCTACCACTTCTTTTTCGAAGCAGTTATTTGAGAATCCTCCTTTTCGCTATTGTATCTTATAATCTGAAATTATCTTTGATTTCTTATCATAATGGATCACGCATACAAAGGGCTTACAAGCTATTTGAATTGCTTGGCTTTCCGCTTACGAACCAGCAGAATTCTCAATAATGCAAAGGAAAATGGCAGGCTGGAAGGAAAAATCGGAAAAGAATGATATCAGTGATTTTACACATAACGCTTAGACTTGCAAATTTATAGTTGTGCAAACTGATAACTGTTCACGTCTTCCTATGTTCGATTATCGATTATTATTCCTTATAAATGAAGTCATATTTCTAGAAATTCTGCTCGTACAGTTGATTGGCGAAGTACTTCCTTATCTCGAATACCGCTGCTCTGTTTACATTCCGCTGCGGCCGGTTTGCTTCAGAAATTTCGCCATTTGTCGCTTTCATCTTTATTGCAAAAAACTGACTGATCGCCTTTTCTATGTGATAGCTGATATCGACTGAGTTTTGTTTCCGTTATTATTTGTCAGCACTTTGTTATCTATTCGAAAGAGGCCGTACAAATCTGCTTCATGCACCTCACACTGTTTTTTCCAACTCCCTATTACTGAAACCATTTCTTTTTTCCTTGTTTTACGAGATCCTCCTTTATATCTACTGTACGAACTTATTTCCAGCATTCGATTCCTTTCTTCTCATCTGTCGTCCACGGAGGCCTTCGAACTTTTTTGCGTGTAGATTTAGCCTCTTCTTGAGGATCTCGTCTTCGTCGTGAATGTCGTCCCAACTTCCCGGCCTTACAGGGGGTTGATGAACTCCGCCAGGGTTCGAACCACCACTATGTTCATAATTTAAGACATCAAAACACTGCGCTACCTGATCCACAAGATCACATAGATTTTCAAAAAATTGGTTCCAAAATAACCCTGTTTGAAGTGACAAAAAAGTGAGATAGGATGCATTTGCGAAACGTTTCGGTGAGCAAAAGTCACTTATCTTACGGAGTAAAGGCAATGGTAAACGCATACGTATTCTCGAAACGGAAATTTCGTGTTTGTGACCAGGAGTTGGTGTCAGGAGTTCCACGCTCGTGATCGCCTAACCACAGTCGAATCGATAAGAAATTATGTTCGACAGGCTGCGAATTTTAGTGCTGAATTAGTAAATGCTTGAAGGTCGTATAAACACCAAACATAACACGTACCGATTCATGTGTGCTGAAAGAGATACACACCTCTTCAGTGTAGTTCACTTTGTGACCAGAGGCCATTGCTTTTGAATAGAGTACGCCTGTTGAAAGAGCCCGAATAATATCACTACTTCAGCATTGGCGTTCGACACTTGGAGAGAGTTTTTCCTCATGATGAATCCATGAGGACAGTTCTACAAAGTGGCTCGATGGTCACAGAATATGCGTTCATCAGCATTCACACGTACTTGAGTCCAGTTACAAGCTTCACATAAAACTTTAAATCTTTGTCTGCGATAAATAATCTCTACATAGAAGATTGTACTCATTGCCTCTTGTCTATTAAAATATTTTAAACAAAACATTTCTTGCGTTGCTTGCATTTAGTGCTAACCTACTTAATAGGGTCGCAAGCGTGTATCCGATCGCGGAGCTCTGTAATTGCCTTGTAACATCCCACAGATTTCCCTCTCTTCTTCCAAATTCTGGTGGCGTTTTCTTCAAGGAAATGAGAATTGGACAGTGTGGAGGTGCTCCGGCATCCAATTTAATGCGATAGAACTCCATCTTGAAGCATTTCAGAGAGGTTATCCACTTTTGGTCGCTACAGATTTTCCAAGAATTCACCAGGGCCAGACAACTAGGCGAGAGCAGAGCCGTACGGATGAGCTACCAGTACTCTCTCGTGCCCACAAACGGCTTCTCTTGGTTGCAGTCCTCAATAGCCATCAGTTTCCATGAGTTGGGTGAACGTTGCGTCACTTAGACATTATAGTAATGTCTATGTTATCCTTCCAACTCAAAACCGTTATGCTGCTTCAATTCTATTGCGCTCTATTCTTTCTACTGCTCAACTTCCAGAAAATGACTTGTTTAAAAAGTCCCTTCTCTCCTCTCCAGCATTTGCAAATAAGATGAGTTCTTCTTCTTAATTACTTGGTCAAAGAAAGTAGTATTACAAATCACGTAATGTAAATATCTCTGTGGGGGTGCAACAACACTATTTGATTTCCTTACATTAAATAACACTCACAGAAATTTGAGGAAGATGATGCAGCTGGCAAATAAATTATAATTATTCTAAAATAGAGGTTTACTTTTCAATCACCACGTAGTCTCCTTCGCTTTCATTGTGGAGGTGGGCGTGATTATTCGCGCTTGCTTGACTTCACTTCGTGCTTTCTCAGCTATTTTAAGGCCTCTCTTTCTGAAAACAGCCTCAGATTTGGTGCGACAACACGCTATTTTGAAGTGATGAATGGAAAGATCAAGTCACAATACACTGTGACCAGACCGGAGAAGTCAGCTAAGAAGTGCGTATACATTACTGAAGTATTTTACTGTGGTTTTATACAAGTCACAGAGGAATCTTTGACAACAATTTTTGATATAAGACTTTGCCTAAACGGCTTCGTTACGATACAATCAGAAATCATTCACATATTTCCATTTCTCTTGAAGGCAAACAGCAGCGACAGCAGCCGAAGATCCTTCGTCGGACAAAGTTTCCATTCTAGTGTTGGTGAGTCATCGATAACTTCCACCTCCTATTCAACTTGGTGTTATTGATCGTTATCAAATAATCAGATAACAATTTAAGCAATGCAGTAAACGGTCCGAGAACAAGTAGCTAATCACTCAAGTGGATGTATCCTCTTCAGATACTTGTTAAACTGAAACGTCAACATCTAATTGCATTTCCGAATGTTCTCGATAGATTTCTTTAAGGCTCTACTGCAAAACTCTTTAAAAAAAAAGAAAAATCCGCTTAAATACAGCCTTTAAGATGGTTTAAGGAATAATCAGAAACTCAGTTCGAAAAGAACCTTGTTGGCTTCCGAGTGGGTTTCGTAAAATGGTGCAACAGTGCCATGGAAAGCCTCTTGACGAATTCATAAAAAGGGTGAAAAGTTCGGAGTTGATCAATCACTATGGGATACTTTATGAATTCCATCTTACTCATCACCATCAAAGATGATTAGTTGCATACCTGGTCTTTACAATTACTTGTGGTAGTTTACCGATGTATTAAGACAGTGCTGCTACCCCTCTAGAAGAAACTAGACGAGACTGCTATCAATTTGCCGACCCCATAGGGACGGAAGGCTGTGTGAACCCAAAGACGACACGCGTATCGTATGAAACTTCTAACCACCATGCGACATCTCCGTCACCCTTCCCTTTACCCACCACCTCTGTAACACCAACTTAAACGCGAAAATTCATCCGTAAGGAGTTGGTGGCCAAGGATCTCCCTCGTATGAAGGATCTCGAGCCGGTTAGTGGCAAGACTACGTGGCGCTTCCCCAGGTGGCGGATAGGGGGTTAATCGCTGATCTAAAGCGACCTTTGCTTCCCTGAGACGCAGATGGATCCAGGGGATGGACTCCCTGTTCCTGTTGAGCTGAACTGGTACATACTTTCTGTGTTTGCTTGGCGTATTGATGCATGCGTGTGTGGGTGCGTCCTTGCTTATGAGGATTGTATTCTACGAGTCAATTCGGCCAAAAGCCTGCAATCAAGTGATTGGGAACTAAATGGGAGGCGGTTAGGAGTCGCCTCCAACAAATAAGCTCCATGTTAACTCTGGGAGAGCCTGGCAAACTACCCGTGAGTATACCCAGCCCCCACATTCAGAGCCCAGAAAGCTATACATGGGTATCAAAAATGCTAAACACAGTAAAAAAAAAACGAGCCTCATTCCACTGACCCCCGCAAGAGCCCCCAATTTCGCAGCGTTGGGTAGGACGAGAACGGAGAGGCTGCTAAAATCTTAGTGTCAATGGAAGCTGCTTAGATTTCAAAGAACTATGGTGACGATCTGTACCTACAATGCACGTACACTTGCATCCAAGCCCTCGATCGAAGACATGCTTATGCAAGCAAGAAGGATAAGGTATGACGTCATCGACCTGGCCTAAACGAGAAGACGCAGGCCTTTCAACGCCGTCTATGACACCGGAGAAGAATTGTTTTTTGGAACATGCGATAGTAGAGGAGTCGGCGGCGTCGGCCTTCGCGTCAACACGACTTTGTCCATGAACATCGATTCATTCCAACAATTTACAACCAGAATCGGACGTCTACGATTAAAAAGACGTGGATCAATTCCGGCATTAACAATTATCGTCTTTTACGCCCCGACATCAAACTATGACGAAGAAGAAGTCGAAGCGTTCTGTGGACTTGGAGAAGTTCTACAGAGAAGACAACTCATTCTTGAAGGTCATCATTGGAGACTTCAATGCCAAGATCGGACCATGAAGAACGTCACATTGGGACCCACGGATTAGAATGGAATGAACAGGGTGAGCGGCTGTCTGAATTTATCATGGCGACGAGAACATGGTAGCTCGCAATTCCAGAAGCCCCACCCTCACCGTTGGACGTGGGAGTCTCTCAATGGAGCGCACCATAACGAAATAGACCACATCATAGTAAATAGAAGGTTTTGCCTAACCGATGTCGCCGTTGTCCCAAAATTCTACATGGGATCAGACCATCGTCTCCTTCGCGCAAGATTCTATTTCTCGCAGAAAGGAGAAAAAGCCGCTAAATTTCAAAACCGAAGTCCCAGAACCACCGTAAACTGGGGTTTACTCAATTCATTAGTCGGCTGTTCGGAAGATGCCGTTGTCGATAACACCGACGAAGAATACGATCGGCTCATTCAACATCTTCACGTTAGCGCTATGAAAGATGAGAGTTGGAAAGTCACCAAGAGGCGTCTGTCTCAAGAAACACTCAATCTGGTACGGCAGCGTGGAATCGCACTAGCTGCAGGCAACCACGAACTAACGCCCTAATTTGCAAAACAATGAAGACAGGCAATAAAAAAAGGTCTTAAAGAGAGAAGGGTAGCAGTAATGGTCGAAGCTGCAGAGGCCGGGAAAAGCATTCGCCAAGCCCACCGAAGCTTCGCCAACTATGTGGCCAAGATGATTTCACTCCGGCACCTAGACGGAACAGTTACAGCGTCCAGGAAGGCAATGGAGAAAATCACTCACGAATACTACTCGGATCCCTTCGATAGCCACGTTCACATATGAAATAAAGGAGGATGGATATGTTGTACCACCGGTTCTCCCATCCCAAATTCGTCATGCCATCTCGTCGGTGAAAAATCGAACAGCACCAGGTCCGGACAGGATAAGACCAGAACACCTGAAGAACCTTCCGCCAGTCCTCGTAAACACACTGGCTCGCTCTTCACATGTTACCTGTCTGAATGCAAGGTCCCCACTCAGTGGAAGACCAGCAAGACTGTGTTATTGTTCAAGAAGGGTGACCTACACGGTTTCGGCAGCTATCGCCCAATCTGCTTGCTATTTGTCGTCTACAAGCTCTTCACTTGAGTCATCCTAAGCAGGACTGACAGAACACTGGGCGAAGGACAGCCATTGTAGCAAGCTGAGTTTTGAAAAGGATTTAGTACGATGGACCACATCCACGCGATGACAAGGCTCATTGAAGAATCGCGAGGGTACAAAAGACCGCTCTTTCTCACTTTTACCGATTTACAAAAGGTCTTTGATTCAGTTGAGATAGAAGCAGTTTTGGAAGCCCTTGATAGTCAAGAGTCCCTACTCAGTACATAAAGATTCTTCGTGAGCTGTGCAAAAATTTCACAAGCAAGGTATCACCATTCCACAACGATATTGACATTGACGTCAAAAGAGGAGTTTGCAAAGGCGATGCCATCTCGCAAAAATTATTTACCGCCACCCTCCAGAACGTTATGCGAAAATTGGAATAGGATAATATGGGAGTGAAAATCGATGGCCGGCAGTTTCACCATCTTCGCTTTGCTGATGACATCGTTCTTATAACACCAAACATTAGCCAAACGGAACGTATGCTTGACGACTTTGATAAAGCCTGGGGAAAGATTGGTCTTCGGCTAAATCTCACAAAACCGATGTTCATGAAGAACGGATTGTCTTCGTATGTTCAATTAACGCTTAACGAAAGGAATATCTCCGAATGCTCCAGTTACGTCTATCCAGGTCGGGAAATCAATATGATGAACGACTTAGCTCCAGAGCCGAGCAGAAGGAAACGAGCGGCTTGGGGAGCTTCAAAAGCATCGGGGATGTAGCGAAGAGAGCAAAGAACACCCGACTCCGTGCCAACCTTTCCGATTCAACGGTACCTCCTGCACTAACGCATGCGTCAGAAACCTGATCGATACGTAAACATGATGAAAGTCAGCGTTATCGAACGCGCGGTCGAAAGGACGATGCTAGGGGTATCCCGCTCCACACAAATTATTGATGGGATCCGAAGCTCCGATCTGCGTCAATGATGCAAAAATCAATGATGCCATTCTGTATGCCAAACAGTCGAAGATAAGGTGGGCGGGACAAGTAATGCGTATGAATGACAACCGATGGACAAGAGCCGTTAATGACTGGATTCCTCGGCTTGTCAAACGTACTGCAGAAATACCACCGACCCGATGGTCAGAGTTCTTCACGAAAACCTAGAAGAAAAATATGATGCTCGACGAGTCCCTATAGCGAGCAGAACCCACTGGGCTACTCTTGCACCCGACAGAGAAAAATGGAAGATTTACTGGCGCCTGGCTAAGTCACTCGACGATCAACGGGACTACAGGTAATACAGGTGAAGGAGTTGGTAGATAGCTTCCTTGCGTGAAAAAGCAACTAGTAGAAGTAGTTTTCTTTGATATAACTTTGTTAAGGGCGCGTGTGACGTAGTGGTTGGAGGCGCCACTGCGACACATACGTGAAATCGATCTCCGTGTCCATGGCCCATCAAGCCTTCCATACCTCCGCAAATTGGTACCAAACTTGTCTGGGAGGATAGCAGCACTGGCTGAATACATCGGTAAACCACCGCGAGTCATTGTAAAGGCCTGATATTCATTCGATCACCTCCAAATAGTTAATGAAGTCGAATGCATAGCGCATCCCTCAGGGATTGATCAACGCCGACAGTTTCATCCTTTTTATCCATTTATTATATCTTTGTTATTTCGTCGAAGAAACTGAGAGATTTTTAAAACAGCGTAATGAATGAATTGTTTTCTTTCATGAAATGTGGTCTCTTTTAATTATTGTGATAAGAAAGCCTTTAAGATTGCACTTTATCATTATCATTATCATTACCACTATCACTATCATTATCACTGTTATCATCATTATCATTATTGATTTGCTTTTATTTGTTAGTCAGCTTGTCAGCAATTATTCTACGGCTTTTCCACAGTTTCGGTACGCGACCAAGCTCGACGTCTGCCTTCTACTGGTCGGAGCCGTGTTGGCCGCCCTGCAGGGAACACTCAGTTCCGTATCGTCGTTAATCTTCAAACACCTCCTGGATGCGCTCATAATTGGTAATATTGCTTCGTGATCGCAAACAATAATAACACCTGCAAATAATGGGTATCGATTCGTGAAGTATATGTAGCCATTCTGGTCGATATGCTTACAAAATTTGCAATAATCCGGAAAATTCTAGCCTCCTTAAGGTGAGGCTGAATGGGAAAAGGGAATTTTTGACGATTATGAGTTCACACAATTTGCAATGAATTCCGTCTTCAACTACACTGCTTTTGGATTGGGCCAATTCATCCTGGGATTTCTATCGGTCAGTTTTACACTTCTCTTCACTCCCAGAAACTTCTGGTTTACTTCCTTTTTGAAATGGCTTTCAAAGTATTGATCAGTGAAATCTGACGTAAATTCAGTGAAATCGGCGTTATTCCTCTTCGATTTATGATTTGCTCACAAATTCTCAAAAACTTCAAATACTCACCCTGTAACTATTCCTCTACTTCACTCAGAGCGTCACAAAGAGGCAGCTAAATCTGACTTTCTCCGAAGATGAAAACTAGTGATAATCTGTAGATGTGCTGTTGGCATACTGTATCTGAGCGACAAGTGTTTCAAATTCGAAATCGCTACTTTGGAGCAGTTTTGCGACAGGATATGGCATGGTTCGATCGCAATGAAACTGGAGCTCTCACTACTCGGATGAGCGAGTAAGTGATCATTTTGCCGTGCTCCTTTTGCAGTAGTCACATCTTCGGTAGATTGAGACCTTAAATTACTAAGTGAAACAACCATGTCTGCCCATAGCTCCATAATTTCGTATACAAGCTTTGTAAAAAAGAACCAGACCTTGTTTCAATGTCATCGGATGCATCGATCCTTTACCGCGCTACCATAGGAGACTGACATTCTATAAACCTCGAAATTAATAATTAGTTTGAGTAACTGCTAGACGCTTCTTTACCTAAATTCCATACAGGATCAGACTATCGCCTCCTTCGTGCAAAAATTCGTTTCTCGCTCAAATGAGAAAAGCCGCTAAGTTCAAAAAACGAAGTCCGAAAACCACCATCAACCCAGACTTATTCAGTTCATTAGTCGGCAGTTGGGAATATGCCTTTCTTAGTAACATCAACGAAGAATATGGTCAGCTCATTCAACATCTTCATGTTAGCGCTATGAAAGCTGAGAGTTCGAAAGTCATAAAGCGATGTCCGTCTCCAGAAAAACTCGAGCTGATACGCCAACGTGGAATCGCACTAGCTACAGGTAACCGTTAACACATGTCCGAACTTACGACAAAGTGTAGAAAGGCGGTAAAAGAAGATCTTAAAAAGAGAAGAGTAGCAGTAATGGTCGAAGCTGCAGAGGCTGGGAAAAACATTCGCAAAGCCCACCGAAGCTTCGCCAATTACAAGACCAAAATGATTACACTCTGGTACTCAGACGGAACAGTTACAGCGTCCAGAAAGGCAATGGAGAAAATCATTCACGATTACTGCATGGATCTCTTTAATAGTCACGTCCTCCTGAACTCATGTGAAATAAAGAGGACCAATGTGTCATGCCATCAGTTCTCCTTTCCGAAATCTGACATTCCATTTTGCCAGTGACGAAGCGACCAACACCACGGACAGGATAAGATTTGACCACTTGACGAACCTTCTGCTACTCCTCATAAACACATTCGTTTAGCTCTTCACACGTTGCCTGTCTGAATACAAGGTTCCTACTCAGTGGAAAACCCGCAAGACTGTATCGTTGTTCAAGAATGGTGACCTCTACCGTACCAGCTGCTATCCCCCAATCCATTTCATGTCCATCGTTTATAAACTCTTCACTCGAGTCGACCTAAACAGGTCTGACAAAACACTAGACGAAAAACAGCAGTGTGAACAAACAGGATTTCGTAAAGGATTCAGTACCATAGACCATATCCACACGATACTAGGAATCAATGAAGCATTGCCATAGTATGCAAAAATTCTTCGTGAGCTGTATAAAAATTTCACAACCATGTTACCACCATTCTAAAACCATATTAAAGTAGACGACGAAAGATGGTTTAGGAAAGGCGGTACCATCTCGTCAAAATTATGTACCGCCACCCTCTAGAATATCATGCGAACATTGCGAAGGAAGAAAGTAACAATCGATCGTCGGCAATTACACCGTCTTCGCTTTATTGATGACATCGTTTTTATAACATCAAACATTAGCCATGTGAAGCGAATGCTTGGCCACTTTGATAAAGTCTGTGGAAAGACTGGTCTTCGACTAAACCTCACAAAAACGACGTTCATGAGGAACAAATGGGTTACGTATGCCTTATTCATACTCAAACGAATCACTATCTCGAAATGCTCCAATTACATTTATCTAGGTCGAGAAATCAGAAAAGTTGGTATCAGTTTCTATTGTTGCCGTGCTTCGCTGGTCGACGATTTTGCGACTTCGACTTCTTCGTGGCTTACATGGATTTTTCTGATGATAACTATATAGTTCCCAGGATCGACTTTCTCTTAACCTCGGCATTGGAATATGAATGTGTCGTTTTCTTGTTCTTGATAACTATATAATTTAATTATCTATAGTACAGCTAAGGTCTGTTATGTAAAGGGACGCCACTTTTTTAGAAAGCCACTCAACGTTTTATTAGGTGTGGGACCAGAACTACCATCTGTGTGCTGTTAACGTGGAACGACGAATGAGGCACAAATTTCCAGGAAAATCAATTTAAAATAATGCGTTAGGTCACTTATGATAGTGAGGCGTCTTCCCGATTCATCTTTGAACTTTCGAAATTTGTGAAGTACCTCTAAGAGTCTTGCGCATTTACGTTTTTGATTCCTGCGCCAAGATCCGAACAGTCACCTTGAAATCATCGCCATTGTGCTTTTGTGCCCTATGTGTACCTAGAGGAATACTTCAGTGATTTTCAAGTTCCTCATTAAGATGTTCTTTTATCGGCACACAAAGCGGTCTACCCGTTTTCCCAATGTATTCTTCGCCGTATGGCTTACATGAAATCAAGTATATTGTACCTGAACTCATACAATCCTGTTTGTCCCGTTAGGACAGATTATACAATTTTCTGGATTGCACAAACGATCATAGAGCCGACTGCGAACTAATTGGCGCTGTAGGGTATTGGGTGAGAGTTCATTGACTGCCACTGAACTTCCAAGACCAATTTTTCCAAAAATAAAAATAAAAAGATAAAGTTCTCGGTACTCATCAATTCCTAAGGGATGTGGCATACATTTGACTTCATTAAGCATCGTTTGGAGGTGATTGAATGCATGTCTGGCCTTTACAATGACTCGCAGTGTCCTACCGTTGCGTCGAACCAGTGCTGCTATCCTCGCAGCCAGTCTGGTATCAATTTGCCGAACCCGGAGGGATGGAAGGCTTGACGGGCCATGGGAAGCGGCAATCGATTCCACGTGGGTGTTGCTGGGCGCCTCCGACCACTGCTCCACACGTGCCCATACCAATTTTCGTAAGCACCTCTTAATGGCGTAACTTATTTCGTTTCATATAAAGGGTTGCTTGGAAAGGCATTTATTTGGGTTTGAAACACTGTTTGTGGCATAACCCTTTGATCTGACCCGAGTGGCTTCCGCTTCGTATTCATTGGAAATGGCTATTTTTCGTGAGAAGTTTAGCAATTGTTTCCTTTCCCAAGACCGACTTTCTGCTTACCTCGGCATTAATTGATAATTCAATGTTTTTCTTCAATAAGCAGACACGAGGTTGTTAATATAGAATTTATTAGAATAGAATAGCTGAGGTTTCGGCGGTTTCGCCTTCTTCAGAGCCTGGAATGGTCAAATTGAGATGCGATCTACTCAGCCAAACACTTTCATAACCCTAGCAGATAAAACTTGACAAATTTTGAAAAAAAAATTCTCTGTTTCCCTTTTCGCCAATATACAGGTTCTCAGCTTTGGGTGCATGCTTTCGATAATTGCTTGGGTTAGATCGAAAAGTAGGGTTATAACCCAAAATTATGTTTCACACCTTAGTAAGATCCCTTGCAAGCTACCCTTCATATCAAACGAAATAAATTGCGTCATTAGGAGGTGCCAACAATTAAGCAGAGTTTCTGCTAAATTCTGTTCAAGTTATTCACCTCTCACCTTATACTGTAGGCCATCAATGTCATCGTTTCTGTAGATCAAAAAGTTGTGTAATCTCGCTTACAGGCAGAGACAAGGATTCCATGAGTACAATATGCCTATTCTCGCGCAAGGCATGAAGTGGAAAGTACATTGGAGAAACGGGTAGACTGATTTCTGTCCATATAAAAAACATCTTAATGGGAAACCTAAAAAACACCGAAGTGCTCCTTTAGGTACATGTAGGGCACAAAAACACAATGGTGATGATTTTGAAGTGACTGTCCGGATCCTAAAGCGGGAATCAAAAACATCAACGCGCAAGACTCTTAAGGGCATTTGATAAATTTGAAAAGTCCAAAGATGAACCGAAAAGACGAATGCCTCACTATCACACGTAGCTTGGCGCCTTTTTTCAAACTGTTTTTTTGACCTACGTGGGCCTCACTCGTCATCAAACGTGAGCAACAAACGGGTGATAACATAACGGTGAGTAGTTCTAAAACAAAGTAGCGATCATTTCTACGTTACAACTTCCGTTGATCTTCGTGCTACACGTAGTTCACCGACTTATGTGGACTTCTTGTGTAAAATGCGTCCAAGCACCGAAGAAGAGCGCGAAACGTCATCCACCGAATCATGACATGAACAACAGCTTACACCAGCCTAGCGGAGCTCAATAAGGACAATTCGTAAAAAATTTACTGGATTTTTTCAGGTTAGTGGACAGGTGACTTACTAAGCATTTGTTTGCAGCATGAAGTGACGTGCGGCGAGAAATTGTTTTATTGTTTCATCAGCTTCAATACTGTTATTCATCGAGTAACTCAAGCGAACACCAACCGTATCCATCGAACATCAACGTTTACCATACTTGCTTCCTGCACTTCTTTCGAAGAGAAATAAGAAAGAAGTGCAATTTTGTATGAGGTCTTGGCCGATTTTTAGACGAACATGGTACGGGGGACGAATGGCAAAGATACCCCCACATAATGCGAAGTTCCGCTGTAGACCCTATTCACGGATAGGTGGAATAAAAGTAATGTTTGCCGACACATGGAATACATAAGTTCATCCGTCTCAGAAGATAATGAACAACGACCAACCAGCTTGAGATTCCTAAAAAAAGGTTCACTGAGAAAAGAAATGGAAATCGGGTCAAATGCTTTAGATCCAAACGTTTCCTTTTAGGTCGCGATACTAAAAGTACGGCAGCAAATTAGAGTTGGGTTAGATTCCTGAACGGTTATTAAATCAGAACAGTGTGAAAATGCCAGCCACCGACAATGTTCAAATCCATGTCGGTTTGCATTTCCACTGCCGATTTTTATGATACAGTCAGCAAACCTTAAATACAACTTTTATGGGCACACTCTTCAGTGCTCCCTGGATCAAGCATGTTCATCTCAGAGAGCGGTGACTATTGTTTAAAAGAAAGAACACTTTGCTCCAGACACCATTTGGCTGGTGGTCCCAAGCCGATTCCTAGATTCGACTGAGCCGCTTTCGGTCTACTTCTTAGTTTGAGATGTTGTCCCATTACGGACGACGTCGTTTTCATATAAAATTAAAGTTAGTAATTAGAGTAACTTAGAGATTTCGCGGCAATGGTTCTAGTTATAATTTGTCCTGATTTGAAAACCTTGCATGTTCTGACCGGTTGACTATAAAAATATTGTTCTCGTTTCATTGCTATCACGAAATTCACGTTTGTATGAGAACAGCGAATAGATAGTGTTTCCGACAGACCACTGAAGTAGCCGTGAGCGAAAAATAAAGCTGCGGAGATGAAACCGAATGGGCTGGTATCTCATATACATTCAATTGCAGCCTTACACATAGCCACACACGACGGGTGATTGCTGTGGCAAAGATCGATAGAAATAGCTGAGAGACAGGCGAAACGAAGGACCCGCATGGTGTGGTGGTGATGGCGTTAGTCGCCGGAAAGGACAATAGCGCGTTCGTTCCCCACCATAGACACCTGCGGTCCAGAGTTTTGCAAATATCTCAGCAACGTTGTGGTTGTATTTCGCTTAGTACCCTGCCGCGAAATTATAGTAGGCAGAAAGCAAAAAGGTATAACTTACACATAGAATTATTTTTGCCCCTACGTCATAGCAACTATTTCGTAATTTCTTCAGTGGGATTGACCGTATTCGGGATGGCATAGGCGACAAACTCGGTGCCATGTTCGCCTACGTGGCCGCATTCGTCGCCGGTTTTATTGTCGCTTTTTGTAACAGGTACAACGGTTACTGCTATGAACTATTAATAATTGCGAATGACTAGATTTATTATGCAGCCACTGTATATTAAAGAATTAGCTAGGACCATATCTGGCATGTGGGACGCGCGAAGCCCAGTGGTTAGAGATGAATTTCTGTACAAACATGGTCCTTGTTCGGTTCGTTCTTGTGCCTCAGACTCACCATTTTGGTCCGATCCCACGTCCCGATCTCACAAAGCTTTCTGTCACCCAGAGTCGACAAATTAGTACTAGACTTAAGATAACAGGAGTGACTTCATAGGCTGGTATGTGACCGCAAGTCATTGCGTAGGCCATGCATGTATCTAGTCACCCCTAACGATGCTTAATGAAGGCGAATTTATGGCGCATCCCTCACAGATTGAACAACGCCGAGAGCCTTATCCTTTATCCTTTATTCACTGCTAGTTGATATCAGCTCCTGCTGGTCGATTTCGCTCTTTCACAATAAGTAACCCACCCGTTTTGTTTTTCTTTGTGTCGTAATTTATTTTTTTTATGCATTTTTTAGAATTTTCTGGGCTTCCCTTTTTCCTACTTTTTATGATTGTGGCGCGAATTCCCGCGGCTGACAGCAGTCACGAACACGTCCGCCCATCGTTTGCTGGGCCTCTAACGCTTGAATTCCCTTGGAGTCCACTCCATTGTTCTTTACGGCAATATGTCATTTTTTTCCTCGCATTATACAACCTACCATCCATGTTTGACTATCCATTTATATTCTTCTGGATCTCAAAGATGAGGTGTACTTTGAAGATGTGACCTGAACATTCTCGGCAGACACTGAGTGTACGGGCTAAATTTATGGAAACAGCATTCGAGCGCTGCGTGGGTGGCGCGTAGAGTTTAGTTGAGGTATCAGTTCACATCTTTACTGAATAACAGAATGATGGGAGAACTGTTGAATCGAAGAGGTGAGAACGGCGTTTTCGATCCATTGGGTGGTCAGTGGCTCCTCTAAGAGACTCGATTGTAGGCTGTCCTACTTTCTTTCTTCTGTATAATTCCTGTTTCATGATGTTTTCCAAGTCCACTTAATGCGCAAGCTACACAAACAAAGTTCTGTCTGTAATCGGAAAATCATCCAGTTCGATTTGTTCATCCTTTACGGCGTCGGTTCTTCATAAACTTGGTTTCCCCATGATTTAAGCGCAGTGTATTCTTTCCCTCACACCGCTAAGTTCATTAATTATCTTAGCAACGAGTCTCGTTTCTACAAAATATGTGAAGTACAAAACTGTAATTCTCACACTGGACACGATAACCGTGACTCATCATTGATAAATATGTTGGACTCCTATTGTAAAACTTTTCGCGTCCACATACTGTTCTAGCGCACGTGCACAGCTAGTGCAGATCGTCGTTATAGTCGTTTTAAACCGGCACAGTCTTGAATATTACTTTTACAAGGATCTAATCACTCACCCTACTTCACACTCTCAGACACGACCTATTTCATGAGCAGTAGAAAACTTTTTACTATACATGGAGATGAGTCTCAGGGTTCTTGGTATATTCAACAATGGTTTAAGCTGTCTCTTAGAGCAAACAGGACCCTTGTGCTCCACGGAGCTCCGATCTAACAGCAACGGACTTCTCTGTCACTAAACTGCAAGCTCCTCTTCCCCAGGTCGTGCAAGATACACTCCACGGTTTTAAAGGCAGACACAAACATACGTGAATGAATATGACAGCGGATATAGAGGATGAAGTGTTCAACGTTGATGAATCTCTTAATCACACAGTCTCCTCCATTAAGCATCGTGGAGGTGATTGAATTCACAATCAACGCTAAGTCAGTGTATTTATTTCCCAGATAAGTTTGATGGTAATTTATCGAAACAATGGAGCGTTGGGTGGAACCAACAACCGCGTACTTATTGCTGGACACCACTAACCGTTGCGGTTTACGTATTTACACGAAATAATTCACAAAGCAAGAAGTTCGTCCATTCACCTGCTTCTCATTGAAATTGTAAGAGCGCTTTAAATTCGCATTTATATGTCATCTGAAGAAACGTCAAAGGTTTGCGAGCAATTGGTTTGGGTCCACTAGTGAACGTGGTTCACTGTATCCATTGTAATAAGTTATAAGCTGCACAGATTGGTCTAAAGAACGAAACACTCTATGGAAAAACAAAAGCTTAGAAAGGTCGGGAGTAATTTTAAAGAACGGCGAAACAGTTGCTTTAGAGATTCACGTCAATCCGAAAATCATCATTTGCAAAAAACTAATATATAGGTCGCTTGGAAAGAAAACCGACGAGTAGAGGAAAGCGCAACGTTTTTGACAAAACTCTTATTATTGCATTGTTGCTGACCTTCTTCAGCTGGCAGATGACTTTGGTGATGATAGCTTTCTTCCCGATTATTTTCGGACCACTCGGCATTAGTTCTAAGGTAAGACGACATTTTAGAGCTTTCTCTCCTGCAATGTAAAGGATACAAATGACCACTTCCTTCATGAGTCGTGCTGACACCAGAAAATTCTCCATGGGGCCGGTTTTTTAATTACTGGGTAAGCAACCTATCGCAGATCGCCACCATAGGCACTCTTACCTTCAAAAACCAAAAAGAGAACTTCTGCTTTAGGACTAGGTTTCCACCTCTGCAACAGGAATTGCCATAGTTAGCTTACTGCAGTTGCACTTCCACATAAAAAAATAACGTCGTATTCCGACTCTGCTTAGACCCGAAGCCGACAGTGAACTCTATCTGTTTGCAGTGACCTGGGCATTCATTCGCTGCTCTCAGCTGACAACCCACTGAGAGCTTGCTTTCATTGTTATCCATTCCATGCTTCTGTCTCCTTTTTGTTCCAGATAATGAGCAAAGCGATTGCGAAAGAACAAACTCAGTATACAGTTGCTGGAGCTGCTGCTGAGGAGGTGATACACGGCATCCGAACAGTGGCCGCTTTCAATGGCCAGCAAAAGGAAATCAAAAGGTTCAGTAGTCCACTCAACCATGGCTGCCTTTAAAGTACTTTCTCGACTCGGTAGAACGCCGGTCTGTTGAGAACTGGCGTTGTCCAGTGGGTTTCTATCCAAATGTTTAGGTACTCCAGCATTCTCGACGATGCAATGCATTACGGTGTTAAAAAGGCCTTCCTAACATCATTCGGAATAGCTTTTGTTATCGCACTTCTATTCATATCCATGGCGGTGTCATTCTGGTTTGTTGAACATATCGAATAAATAAATAGATGAGCATATCGAATAAATAAGTATGGAAAAACCTTATTTTCTCTAGTCGAAGTCATTATATATAAATATAAATATATATATATATATATATATAATTACATTAAGAGTTAGTTTTCATCAAAAACATAAAATTAAACGTAATTTATATTTAATTAGAATAATATTTGCTTGTTTTCTTCACTATTTATTTATTATCTCTACCACTTTTCATTTGCTTGCCTATTGTTTTACAAGGTAGCCCATGTGGTACAGTGGTCGGAGGCGTCCTGCAACACGCACATGGGAGCGATCCCCTCGACCCTAGCCCACCAAGCATTCCATTCCCTCGCGATTAACAAATTGGTATCAGGTTTGTCTGGGAGGATAGCAACACTTGTTCGATACATCGGTAGGCCACCGCGAGTCATTGTAAAGGCCAAATATGCATTTAATCTCCTCTAATGTTGCTCAATGACGTCGAATTCATGGCGCATTCCTCAGGGATTGTCAACGACGAGAGCTTTATCCTTTACTCTTTATTGTTTTATAATAAAAGAAAAACTGTTTTTATTTCAAGCCAATAGGGTGAAGGCTGCGAGCTAGTCTATTTAACCAATAGGCTGGGGCAGAGACTTTCACGTTCCTCTAATGTGATTATCAGGAGTGATTATCAGGGAACAGACAAACAATTTCCTCCATTTTTTGAAGAAATCTGTTCGTCTAATATTTTGTTGCTGTCGAAGACTTACAGGCTTCTACATTTTTTCCAAAATGTTCTCCATGCTGGAACAAATTGTTTTTTTAATGTTGCTATTGTTGTTGAATCTTAACCTTTTTATTTACTGCCTATTATTTTTAACGGCAGGGTATTTTGCGAAATATAACTACTATAATGCTGAGATATTTGCAAAACTCCGAACCGCAGATGTCTGTGGTGGGAAACGAACGCGCTATTCTCCTTTCCGGCGACTAACGCCATCACCACCACACCATCCGGGTCCTTCGTTTCGCCTGTCTCTCAGCTAGTTCTATCAATTTTTTGCCATCAGCAATCAAATAGCGCGTTCGTTCCCCACCGCAGTCATCTGCGGTCCGGAGTTTTGCAAATATCTGAGCATTGTAGTAGTTATATTTCGCTGAATTTTCTTTCTGTGCTGATACCAACGTTATTCGATTCTTTGTCCTGCATCCGTCATCCACGAAGGTCTTCTGATTTCGGTTTGGCTTTGTCTAAGTCTCTTCGTGGGTCGGACGAAGATTTTTTTAACCATTCTGGGACCAATTTGTTCACCTCGAAGAAATAGGAAGCTTGGTTAACTTAGGACAGGGTTGAACTGCGAACCATCCGTGTGCTGCACGACATATCTGAGAACTGCTTCTTGAGCGCTGTTATTTATTAAATTATGATTTATTGCTACGATTTTTACTTTATTATTTACTCTTTATTAGATTAAAACAAATATTTGACTTTAGAAAGTTTAACCGCTGTTAAACTTCATTAATACACACCGTTACTACTGCATTATGAAGACAAAGACTAGTCCTGCATTTTTACTTACTGGGATCACGCAAAAAATTAGTAACAAATCTTTCCACGATCTTCTCCTCATTCAGTGTTTTTCAACACATGTGTGCCACTTTTTCCACATTGTATGGTTAATATTTAAGAAGCCGGATGGCACGGTGGTAGTGACGCCAATGATCACAAGCACGCACGGTGCAGGTTTGGTCTAACGCCGGGCTCAGTAAGTCTCTCGTTCCCCCAGCAGGGACGAGAAATTAGTAGCGGACATCTCCGGAGAAAAGATCGGTTTGTGCAGTCCAAGTGCGAACGCTCTAGCCTGACTATCTCAGGACTCCAGGGAGAATGGACTCGACCAGCATTCATCGACATTCAACATGAAAGGAAAATCCGCAATCAGTTGCCGAAGCCGCACGTAAAGAGTTGTAAGTTGTTGATGATGAATGCAAGAAAACAAACCGAATGCGAGAAGTGCTGAGGTCAGCACAGTAGATTTGAAAGAAAGGGGTCCTATAAAATAGTGAAAAGTGGAAAAATGGTTGATCTTCTTTCCATGGATTCGTAAACAATCAATGATCAGACCTACACACTTAAGCGAGTTTCTTATCCGCAGGTATGGGACAAAGTTGGTGGTTTCCGAGCAGATCACGCCAGGCACGGTTTTCGCTGTGTTCTGGGCGGTGATAGGCGGCACCTTCTCGCTTGGTCAAGCAGCTCCACAATTCGGTGTGCTCATCTCCAGTGTGACTGCCGCAGCTCCAATATTCACTATCATTGACCGCGTTAGTTGTTGAGCTGAAAACATGTCGAATTGTTACGTTTTGTGTGCTAATTTTTTTTCAGGAGCCGTCCATTGATTCTATGTCGAAAAGTGGTAAGCGTCTTGAGCACGTACAAGGACGGATTTCCATCACCGACGTCCATTTCAGCTATCCATCTCGTCCAGAGGTAAGAATCAAAATGCGCTTAGCAAAAATCAAGCTTCGACGAAAACCTTGAAGGAATAAAAAAATGTTCGGATCTAATCTGTAAGTGTAGTCAAGTTACCTAAGCATGTTTCTACTTTAAAAATTTTTCTTCCGGGACTCCCAAAACTACATGTTCACCCTTTCATAGCTATGGATCCCCCTTCAGAGGAATACCACGCCGATTAGTTGCGGGGCAACGTGGCTTTTCCCAAGCAGTGGATATGGGGCTAATTGCGGACCAAAAAACAGACTTTATCCTTCTATGTGGCAGGTGGATTCAAGCAATGGAGTCTCTGATCCTGATCTCCGATTTGGCACATACGTTCTGTGTCTGCGAGGATCTATTCGTCCATGCGTTCACGCGTGTGTTCTCGTTTATGATATTGTATTCTGTGAGACAATTTGGCCGAGAGCATGTAATAAAGTAATAGACGACTACAGGGATGCCGTTTAGGAGTCCTTTCCAACAAATAAGCTCTTTTTCTACTCTGGGAGACACTGGTAGGCTATCCATGAGAATGCTCTTCCCCCACGCTTGGAGCTCAGTAACCTATACATGACCATCATGTTGGGACGGCTCGCTATATATATAGGAATACGAAGTAGTTAAGACGACTCGGTCAAAATTTGCTGCTCGCCTTTGTGTACGCCGCGAGGCACTTCTTGTTAGTAGCAATCACAATGCTGGACACCTCAAACTTGGATAACTAAACCGTTTATCATAATTATGCAACAGTTATAACAATACAACTCTACAATTAATGCAACAATGATTCGATAATGTGTGACGATATGTAAGCTGGGTGGATAAGAGCGGGATTGAAATGGTAACAAGTGATACACTTGAAAGAATTAAGGCGGACACTGGAGTTGGAGCACTAAGGAATTGAGGGACCGGAAGCAAACCGGTCGAACGCGGCTAACACCTCAGGACCCACCAGTCCTATGAGCTGCCTGTATTACATCTGCTGTGGGTGGAGCTTTGCCAGAGAGAGCTAAAGGCGGCGTCTAGAGGAGGGTTCTAAAAGTTTTTCTACTAGCGCAATTTGATGGGGCTACATGTGGAAGGGTGCAGGTGTTCGGAAACTTTTTTTGAGATGACGGATGCTGAAAAGTACGTTCAGCTGGCTGCTGCTGATTCCCTTTCCAGCCACCTGCGAGGCAATTGCATGAAATGGTTACTAAGAAATGATTTACCGAATATGCAAGAATAGATGTATGACTATTGCAAATAGACAGGTGTTGTAGAAGACCTAAGGCTATAATTGTTTACAAAGAGAACATTCCAATATTCGTGAAGAATGTTCTCTATACATCAAGTGCTAAACACCGTAAAATAAGCGACAGGCTGAAGCGATCTGGACCAACACCGGCTCTGACAATCGTCGCCGTCTACGCACCCACATCAAGCTATGACAAAGACGATAACTGTACTGGCTTGCAGAAGTTTTACTGCTAAGACCACACATTCTTTAAGGTCATCATTGGAGATGTTAACGCTCTGGTTGGACCTAGAAGAACGTTTGGCGAATGCCACATCGGAAACAGCGGATTAAAATGAAATGATCAGGGCGAGCTGCTGTCCAAGTTTGTCATCACAACTAACACTATTCATGATACCTCTAAATCCCTGAAGCCCACTCTCAAGGCTGGACGTGGAGTTTCTTAATGTAGAGTACCATAACGAAATAGGCTATCTCCTAGCAAATCGGAGATCTTGCCTAATCGATGTTGTGGTTGCCCATTTCACACGGCACCAGACAATATTCTCCTTCGGGCAGGATTCCATTTTTAGGGAAAAAAAGGAAAACCGCTAATTTCCAAAAGCAAAGTCCCAAAACACCGCCATAAACTAGAATTTATTAAGTTCACTAGTCGTCTGTTTGGAAAATGCCGTTCTTAATAATATTGATAGAAATACGACGGGCTCATTCGACATATTCACCTTATGAAAAGTGAGAGCTCAAAAATCACCAAGAGAGGTCTGTCTCCAAACACTCTCGAGCTGATAAGGCAGCTTGAAATGACATGAGCCATAGGCAACCCCCAACCTATGTCGGAACGTGCAAAATAATTCGGATAATCAACAAAAGAAGATCTTAAAGGCAGACGAGCAGCCGTTATGGTCGAAGTTGCAGGGACTGGGAAAAGCATTCGCAAAGCCCATCGAAGCTTCGCTAATTACAAAACCAGGATGATTGCACTCCTACACCCAGACGGAAGAGTTACAATGTCCAGAAAGGCAATGGAGCAAATCATTCGCAACAACTACTCAGAACTCTACATTAGCCACGTCCTCCTGCCCTCATGTGAAATAAATGGATGGACACCTTCCATCTGAAATTCGGCCTGAAATTCCGTCGGTGAAGAATCAACAACAGCTGCTCCGGATAGGATTAGATTTGAACACCTGAAGAACCTTACGCCAGTCATCAACACAATGGCGATCTTCTTCACACATTACCTGTCAGATTTCTGGGCTCCTATTCAATGGAAGACCAACAAGACTGTATTATTGTCCAGCAATGATGACCTCCACGACATCGTCAACAACCCTCCAATCTGCTTACTCTCTGTTTACAAAACCTTCCATTCACTCGAAGCATTCTAAACAGGATTGACAGAACACTGAACGAAGAACAGCCATGTGAGCAAGCAGGATTTCGTAAAGGATTCAGTCCGATAGACCGCATCCACACGAATCATTGAAGTATCGCGAAAGTACAAGACACCACTTTGTTCCACTTTCACCGACTTAAGGAAAGCTTTTCACTCAGTTGAGATAGAAGCACTCATGAAAACTTTCGACATTCAAGGGTCTCAGTATATAAGAATTCTTTGTGAGCTGGTTAAACATTTCACAACCATGATACCAACCATTCTACAGCGATATTACCATCGACGTCAAAAGAGGGGTTAGACAAGGTGATGCCATGCCGCCAAAATTATTTACCGCCAAACTCGAGAATGTCGTTCGATCACTGGAATGGGACAATGTGGCAGTGAGAATCGACGGTCAGCAGTTACACCATCTTCGCTTTGCTGATGACATCGTCCTTATAACACCAAACATTAGCCACGCGGAACGAATGCTTGCTGACTATGATAAAGCCTGTGGAAAGAGTGGACTTCTGCCAAATCTCACAAAAACCATGCTCATAAAGAATGAATTGGTCTCCTATGCACCATTCACGCTGAATAGAACGAATATGTCCGGATGTGCCAGCTACGTCTAACTAGATCGGGAAATCAAAATGATGAACGACTTAGCTACAGCGCTGAGCAAGTGGAAACGAGCAGCTTGGGTAGCTTTCGAGAGCATGGAGTACGTATTGAAAAAACAAAGAACACCCGACTCCGTGTCTACCTTTTCGAGTTCATGATTCTTCTCCCCTTAAAGTATGCGTCGAAGAATTGCTATCCATGTTAGCAGGTGAAAGATCACTCAGCGTAATTGAAAGCGCAATCGAAAAGACGGCTCTAGGAATATTTCATATCGCGCAAGTGGGAGAGGAGCTCCTATGCTCCGATCGAGGACAACGGTCAAAGACCAAAGACGGCGCTATGTTCGCCGAATTGCCGAAGACAAGTTTGGTCCTCCCTGTAATGCATATGAACGACAACTGATAGACGATAGCTGTTAGTGACTGGATTCCTCCAGATATCAAACGTACTGCAGGAAGTCTACCGATTTGAAGGTCAGAGTTCTTCACAGAGGCTCTAGAAGAAAGAAAGATTGCTCAAGAAGTCCCTAGAGTAATCTGAACCCACTGGTCCAATCTTTCATCGGACGGGAAGAAATGGAAAAATTACTGGCTCACGCTTGAGTCACCTGACGATCAACTGGATGACAAACAGAGCAGCAAGTGAAATAGATAAAACGACGAGATAGTTTTACACCAATTAGGCTGACATGACAATTTTTTGAAACTCGAAAGAATCTTTGCCTCTCTTTATTGTAGAAATACTTTTTAGGTTGAGGTTCTGAAGGGAATATCACTTAGTATCGAAAGCGGCCAGCATATTGCTCTAGTCGGCCATAGTGGGTGCGGAAAAAGTACCTTAGTGGGCCTTCTTCTCCGATTCTACGAGCAGCAATCCGGTCAGGTACCCATTCAAAACGAATTTTCTGCTTGAGTATGATAGAGTACGTGTAGCAGTTTTAGGTATTTATTGATAACGTGCCAACTAGTGACCTTAATATCGAACATCTAAGAAACATTATCGGAGTGGTCTCACAAGAACCCGCTCTGTTTGCTGACACAGTTAGTTCTACCGAACTCATTGATAATTCAAAGACAAAGTAGGAAGCGTTTCTTTCTACGATCATAAAACATTTAAAAATCGTAAGTCCTACAAAGATTTGTTGCTCAGTTTGAACTTAAGCAGATTTTGGTGAGGAAAACAAATTTGAAATTGAAACGAATCTTGACACTAAGTTGGGTTTGAAGTTTTCTTGATCCGAGAAATTCTTCGCCTGATTGAATCGCTGAATGTGGCAGTGGACTAGATTCCCGCCTCAGGTCACGTGTTATGTCACGGTGTTTGAAGCTGTGGTCTATTCCATGGGAAAAAAAAACTCGACACGATTTCTACAGTTTTTAGTGTTAGAAAACATGTTCTTATATCTTATAACAAAAATGAATTTATAAACCACAGTTAATTTATGGCCTACGAGTTCAATATTCAGTTAGAAAACAACATCCGCTTGGGCCGTGACGACATTTCTCATGAGGAAATCGAGAAATGTTGCAGGATGGCAAACGCCCATGAGTTCATCATGAAACTCAACAAGGTGCGATAATCGTACACCTCATCACGTTTTGCTTTTGGTCGCCTATGTCTAGTATATCTAAATATTTCCAATGATATATGGTTGAGTTAAAAGGGGTTATTGCAGGACAAGAGGAAATCGTCCTCAAATACTCTTCTAAACCAGAAATTACCCTCATATGCCAAAACACGATTTTTGACTTTATGTTTTAAAGAAAAACTAGAATATCTTTCTTTTCGTAATTTTATTCTTAAGGGATACAAAACAAGAATAGGAGACGGTGGCGTTCAATTGTCTGGCGGTCAGAAACAACGAGTAGCGATCGCTCGAGCTTTGGCGAGAAATCCACGGATTCTAATTCTGGATGAGGCGACAAGTGCATTGGATGCCGAAAGCGAAAGTATTGTGCAGCAGGCCCTAGAAAATGTGCGGCTTGTAGTCTGTGCAAAGCAGTACTTCATGCTTTAGTGTATTGTATGAGTTGCGGGCCATGTTCATTACTGTAAGCGGCGCCAATTAGACTTCTCTTAAATAGTTCTCAAATAGTTCTCATGGATTCTACCCAGTTTTAAGATTTCTATGCAGAAGTCTTCCCCGTTAATCTCTATAGTCAGTCTCCGGTCTGAGGATAGAAGAATCCGAATAGATTTTTGTTAGGACATGGGAAATATTGGTACGGGCTTACCTGGTTGGGTCATCAGATGAAAGCCCCGTTTCAACTTGACAAAGTCTATATTAGGAGTGGGCCCATAACTGTTAACCAGAATTCGAAGTTCAGAAGTGCTTGTTGGTGAAACAATTAGTTCAATGAGGTATCAAACCATGGGAACGAGGTTTAAAATTGCTTCACAAAAACTTAGATTAAAAGTCGAATAGCTTCAAAATGAAGGAAAATCGGATAGTTGGCTAAGGTCAGAACTAGCGACATTTCTTTGAAATCTATGTCTGCACATCATGTTAAGGCGCAATCTGGAAGAACCACAATTTCTATTGCGCACAGGCTTTCGACAATAAAGAATGTCGATCATATTTATGTCTTCGAGAATGGCCGAATAGTTGAAGACGGTAAGCCAAATAGCGAAATCTCTTTGATAGTATAAATCATTGTTTGACATCTTATAGGAAATCATGACGTGTTAATAGCGAGAAATGGTCACTACGCGGAACTAGTAAGAGCACAGGAGATCGAACAGCTGAAGCACGATGAGACCGGTGATGAGGAATGTGGTATGAATTCATAGCTACTGTGCAAGAAGGACGTACTCAATAGAACCATTCAGAGTTCACCTCGTTCCGAAGAAAATCGCTTTTACGCGAGTCAACGATGAGGAAAATGAGCACGCGACTCGCACGCGCCATTTCTCAACTCTCTAACACCATCGAGAAAGACGTTGCAAGCTTGGAAGTAGGTCTTTTAACGAATTCTTCGAAGTAAAACGCATCTTAAAAGCCTGAAAAGCAGATAGTTGCAAGAGAACTTTCGGCAAAGTGACAAAAAGACGATAATTTTTGTTTCTAGCTTGCTATTCATGTCAAGCAATGTTATGCGTGGCAGTTTCGAAACTAGAATACCTTCTACAACTTGCGATGATTTATGTTAATAAAAATCACGTCTAGCTAACTACTGATATAGTGACGCTAGAAGTGTCAGGTATCCATAGTTCCCTCCTGCACTGATGCTCAAGGAATAAAGACGACGTTTGATACGTCGAGGTCGAAAATTAGGAGCGCGTATAATGATGCACATAAACCCCAACGCGCTCGAAACCTACTGAAAACCTAAAACTAGTAGGCATGCGATAGGGGAAAGACACACTATAAACCCTAAATGGTTTGCCAAATAGAATGGATCACGACAGTCAAAACTATCAGGAGTCCTTTTTCGTTCAAATAAGCTCTTTTGCCTTCGTAAGCTAGCAAGATATGCGTTAGTGTTCACACGATGTCGATAATTTGAGCCAGGTACATATTATATATAAGCTCGTGAGGTTTTTTAGAATAAAACGAGGATTGACAAATCCATGATAACATCTTATTTTTCTTGATTACTACAAACGACTGCACCTCATTTTCCACTACGCGCGATATCTTTACACTCATGCACCGCATCCTATGCGTGCAGTCACTCTTAAATTGATCCAACAGGAGATATAGGATCACAATTAATAAGTAAGAACCTAACGAAAACGGCAGTAACACAGAAATTATTGTTTTGCTTTGACGTTGTGAGATTTTGGAGATGATGTAACCGTTATACCTTGATGAAAATTAAGAGTTCAGGAGGAAGCGAAAGAGGAAAAAGTGAAAGGAGCCAGTATTCTAGACATAATTAGGTACGCTAGGAAAGAGTGGTACACGCTAGTGATGGCTGTCGTGTTCGCCTTCGTTCGTGGAATGACGTTCCCCATCTTCTCCATAATCTATGGAAGAATGTTCAAGGTAAATACATTCGAATTTCGTTCTCAAAATTCTCATTATAGTATGAAGCCAAGTTTATTGAGATTAAAATTTTCAAATACTATCCGTATGTAAGGGCGCGTATGGCGCAGTGGGTCGGAAGCAAATACACATGGGATCGATCCTTTCACTCGTGGTCCACTTAGCCTTCCATCTCTCCGGGGTCGGCAAAGTGGTACCAGACTTGTCTAGGAGGACAGTAGCATTGACTATATACATCGGTAGACCACTCACGACCCATTGTAAACACCAGATATACATTCAGTCACCTCTAAACGATGCTTAATCGAATGCTTGGAGCATCCCTCAGGGATTGATCGACGCTGAGAGCTTTATCCTTTTTATCTGTGTGCAAGCGCTTAAACTGGTGATAAATAAAGATCCTATTGAAGACCAACATATTTGAAGAAATCTGTTTTACGAAGAAAAATTATAGTGTTTGCTTATTCGCAAATTTGACTTAGAGTTTCTACATTCATTTTACTTCACTGACGGCTTTTGCCCATCTGCTGTTGTCCATAAGCATTAACCGGCTCACCTTATATTCGACAGTTTGGTGTATAGAACGGCGTCTTCAAATTTTGATCGTCGACGTTTTCGGAGCTTCGGGTGCCCGCTCTTGCTTACGGGATACGGAATAAAACCAGCATCATTCTAGGCCAAAGAAGGAAGAATTGTAAGGTCTAGAAGATTTATTCAAGTGCACAAACCGTGTATTTAAAAAGGACTCGTTTTTTGGGTACAAGGTGGGCACGTTCAACTGAAGATCGCCCTTTGCACATATGCTGAGTTAAGCGAGACAAAGCAACTTTTGCACTCGCACAATGCTTCTCTGAGCATTGTTGTGTGGATATGAGCCTTAGTGTAATGCTTTTCGAAATTTCTCTCCTCACATGGTTGTTTTTGCTAATTGTTACATTCGTAATAACGAGGACGACAGATAGCAAGATAATTGGTTTTCCATTGAGGATATATCCGTTGTACCTGGTCTCATATGGCAGGAGATTGACATGGCAGTCGAAGACGGTGGTGTAAAAGTTGTGAATGATCCTCTCTTTCGCCCTCATAAGTCCACTTCATTCGGGGCATGAGCGCTGGAGAGGACCACTTAACTCAGACAGCCTCTCACTGCGTTCGTCCAGCTCCAACTACAGTGCTTGGTCTCCATTATAAAATTCCTCAAACCTTCCCTTATGTCTAATCTTGGCACTGAATTGACCACTATTCCTCACAGAAAGTATCTTCCTCAGCTTCGCAAGTCAACAAACGATGCTTCGACATCTTCCTTGATGCTAGGACGGAGACAACGAACATTGTTAAAACTAGCGTTTCTTCACACCTTTTCAACTATAACCTTCAATGAGATCATTAGTTATCAAGGAGGTTGATTTTTCATTTCCAAGCATTTGTTGATCAGGGAAATATTCCCAGCGACACATCTGTCTTCGATGGAACAGTCACTACAAGTGTGTGTGCGTTTTGAATACATACCACATCGGTAGTATTCGGCCGCCTCTCTGCAGTCGTACCACTTAACAGTTTCGCATTAGAGATTCTTTGGCGAGGCAGTGAAAATGAGGCCTGTTAATCAAACCATGTTTGATATTAATTTTGTAATGGATAGAAGGATAAAGCTTTCGCCGTTGATCAACCTTGAGCGATGAGCCATGCTTTCGACTTCATCAAACATCATCAGAGAAGGAATGCTTTCATGAGGACGTGCAAGGACGAATACATTAACGAAACGGGTGGAGCACACTGCGTCGATGTAGAAGAACAACTAGTCCGTGAACTTAAACCAAATAATTCAATGTTTTTCATCAATAAGCAGACACGAGGTTGTTAATATAGAATTTATTAGAACACAATTGCTGACGTTTCGGCGGTTTCGCCTTCTTCAGAGCCTGGAAAGGTCAAACCAAATAAACCAAATACTCCAATAGGCACGCATAGGAGACAGAGACATAACAGGGAAGATTTTGAAGTTGTACCATACTCGCATAGCAATCGAAAACTTAAGAGCGTCCAAGACTCTGAAAATGAACAATGTGATGGAATACCTCGTAATCACGCGTAGTCTCACACAGTATTTAAGACTGATATTTTAATATGAGAGGCATATTCCCTTTCCATGTGAGCTCTGTGCGGTTGGTTTCTACGTGAAATACTCAGCGGAAAACTCATAGAAACCGGTGACTGTCCATAGAATCTATTAGGTGCTCAGTGTGATTGAAATCTTGGTTTAGGATTTTCTCTGTTTGGTTATGGAGGTGTTTGGCTGGGTAGATTGCAGTCAACTTGACCTTTTCAAACTCTGAAGAGGGTATAATACGCCCAGAAGTCAACTTTTCGTCAATAAAGAGTAAAGTACCACTTTATGTTTACTCAACAAGAATGTAGAGGGTTATTGGTCAGTGACAAAGTTAATGTAAAGTCGGTTATGGGGACAGCATGTGTATTGCAGGGCACCCTCTAGGGAAACGATGTCCTTAATTATTCTATTTTTAACACGTCGGATTCAGAATTGATGTTATCCAATTTAACCTTAGCCTCAGTTTTCAGTAGGAGGCTATTCTTATTATTTAGACGTTAACAGCTGGCGATGAGGAGCAAAAACTACATGGCGCTGCTATGAACGGAATCTGGTTCACACTGCTGGGCGTCTCGTCAGGGATCAGCACTATTATATCAGGATTTCTTTTCGGAAAAGCTGGAGAGTCGCTGACGAAGAGGCTTCGATTGTCTCTTTTCACAAATATTGTCGAACAGGTTCGAATCGTATTCGAAGTCCGGATATATTCAATGGTATATTTGCACGACATTGTATGAACATACTAAGAAGCATCACTGAGTAAGGATGCCCTCATTCGAGGAGATGGCTCACTGAAGAAGACCTGACTCGTTACTAAGAAGGCTTGCATTGCAACATTTTTTACTTCTTCACCAATTGCTATAGAATTTGAAGCTTACATTTCCAATACAAGTTAAAATTGCTGTTCCAGGATGGTGAATATTTTGATAGAGCTGATCATGCTACCGGCAAGTTGACCACAAGACTTGCGACTGATGCACCGAACATTAGAGCGGTAAGCCAAACAGTGATTCACACTAGTCGACAACCTGCCCCACCACTTTCATCGGCTATTCCGAGTTTTTCATTCTCACATATTGTTTTTGACGGATGGTTAAAACGTCTTAGCTAACAATGGGTAACCTTTCTGTCACATCTATCGTCTATTCTACCTGCAATCAATACAACTGGACTTAATCCCTAAAAAAGTGGGCGATAGGGACAACGATGTAGGAGAATGTAGACTCCGCTAAAACGTTAACCATTGTAGACTGAAACATGTTAGCAATCTCATTTCTGCTATATCAGCTCATAAAGAATATAAGGGCGCATTAAGTTGCTGTTTAGTGCCAAAACTGTCGACTTTGTCATGATGTGGTCGAAATCTAACATATCATCGATTTTTTATTTCTTACCTGTAAGAAAGGGACGTTTGAAGAAGTGTATAACAAAATAAGAGAAAGTCGAATTAGTGTTTGTTAAGGTCGATAATACGAAATACCAAGTACTCTGGTAGCTCCAAAGTATCGATTGTTGCTATCCAATTTCAGAGTTCAGGTACTCTCCTTCAAAAAAGGCGTTCTAGTAAATTTGCCCTTGTATTAGTAAATTTCATGCCCCAAATCAAATCAACACACGTCTTAGTTATTAAAATAGGTTTTTCGAGAGTAAAAATACCTGAATAACATCCTGCGGCAGCACGGTTTCCATTGTAGTGGACTACGCACAAGGCGTTGCGAAAGTTCTGCAAAATCGTCGAAGCAGCATAAATCCAGCATTGGCTGGTGATGGCTGCTCTTTTCGGATATCTTTGGAGTAGCTGAAATACATGAAAAGCTGGATTCCTTCAAAAAACTATCCAAGGCGAGGTCGTCGAACCTCCCTATGGCATTCTCCTATTAGTAAATTACGACTCTCCAAGTGGTAATGAGTGGAAATCGCTAGTAGGCAGTCCTTGTCACGTAGGATTTCCTTGTTTTAAGGCGATAGACCAGCGCTTCGCAGATGTCGTCGCCGCAGTGTCGTCGATAATCGCAGGAATTTCGATTGCGTTCTCGTACGGACCGAAAATGGCACCAATTGGTATTCTTACTGCTGTTGTAAGTTTCACAGTGTCCATTCTCTCATGTGCTTTTCATATTTTTAAAAATGCAAATTTAAAATAAATTGGCTTAATAAGCTAACACGGGGTTGACAATGATGTTTAGTCGGCCAACGTTTCGACGTCTTCGTCTTCCTCAGTGTTGATGGTCCGAGATGATGATCCTGTTGCGTCCGACTATATCTCTCATTACAAGAATATAAATTATTAACCACAAGATTGCTGAGATATTTACAAAACTCCGGACCGCAGGTGTATGCGGTGAGGAACGAAAGCGCTATTGTCCTTTCCGGGGAGAAGCGCGTTCACCACCACACCACACGGATCCTTCGTTTCGCCTGTCTCTCAGCTAGTTCAATCGATCTGTGCGGTCAGCAATCACCCGTCAACGGGATTGATCTGGGGAGCCACATCGGCTTTGAACCCTGTTAAGCTGAGGCTGTAGTTGAATTCACAATGTTTACTTTTTATTTTCTGCCTTCTGTTATTTTTATGGCAGGGTATTAAGTGAAATACAACCACAACGCGTTACTCCCCGGAAAGGACAATAGCGCGTTCCACCGCAGACACCTGCGGTCCGGAGTTTTGCAAATAGCAATCTTGTGGTTGTATTTCGCTTAATACCCAGCCATAAAAATAATAGAAAACAGGAAATAAAAAGTAAACATTATAAATTAATGACGTTCACCACAAGCTAAGATATGTACTAGTACCGGTCTTGTACATAAACCACCTTGGTCCAGACATTAAATATTAAACATATCACATATTCAGACCAGATTTCTCAAGTGTGTTCTTACAGTTGTTTCTGGAAAAATATGAATTACTAAAAGTGTATTTGAAATGTAGAGATGATATTTTGACGTATCTAGCCTTAATCGGAAAACTATTTAAGACTCTTATTTCACTCCAAACGCTCATCGCTCAGTTCCTTAAAAGGCGAGGTCAAAAAGATGCAGTCAAAGCCGAAGAACCTTCGAGAGTGAGTGAAGTCACTTCCCATCAGATGTTTTGAAACGAAAACATAAGCTGCAAGGCGTCTATTTAGCTGGCCACGGAGGCGATAGAACAACACAGGACTGTTCAGTATCTCACCAGAGAAAAATTCTTTGTGGACAAGTTCATCAGCGAAATGAGTGGCCCGCATAAGAGGTCACTATTCAGAGGTCCGTTTTGACCTTTTACACCACATGCTTAACGACAGAATAGCAGCTGTTAACAACCCATTTTAATCCTTTTTAACCACTTGTCACCGATTATTACCGTGTAGTTGTTTGACTTTCCGGTGCTAATAATTTCCATTTCAAAGGTTTCACAGATAATTTGGAACTTAGGAATGTTTTAGTTTTTCTAGAAAATGTCTCTCAAGACTAATTACTGCTACAGTTTAGGAGTTGCCCAATCACTGACTTACTCACTTTCGGTTAGCTTTATTTGTTTCAATTTCGCGAGCGCCTATCGTTACGGTATCTGGCTGATTCAACGAAGGGCGTGCTCCCCCTACACGGTTTTCCAGTGTGTTTTCTTCATTTCTGTATATTTACTATCAATTATGTTTTAAACCTTTTATTTTGATTCAGAGTGATCGAGGCACTGAATACTGCTTCAATATCGTTGTTAGCCTTTGCCACATACTTCCCAGAATATGTGAGAGCTCGCCTTTCGGCTGCGCTTCTCTTCCAAATGCTCAGACAGAAACCAAAAATCGACAGTGTTTCTCCACATGGAAAAAGGAGTGTGGGTTTGATTCTTTCGATTCGGATTTAAAATTTCACAAAATCGTGCTGTCAGAGTGGATGACAGTTCAAGAAGGAACTGTTAAGGAGAAAGTGATGCAACCAATAGCACGGTTTCTAATATCTAAAATTGTGATGGAACCCTGGGAATTTTGCCTACTTTATCAAAATATGAATCTCAAAGAACGTTCTAGAACGTTTCAGACATGTTACAGTGAATCGAAATATCTACCCTTATGTTTTGCATTCTTGATGGTACTGTAGTTATCCACTAACGCTTTCGTTTAGTGGTACCTTGGTGACTAAGAAAAATCTTTGTTAACCTTCTTGTAGCTCAGTGAGTAATAAAAGATTAAGTGTTTTGAATTAATCAATCTCTGATGAATGTTCTATGAATTCGAGTCCACCTAACATCAGAGGTGAATGAATGCATATCTGGGCTCCACAATGACTCGTTGTGGCCTACCTATGTATCGAGTAAGTGCTGCCATCCTCGCAGACAAGCACGGTAGCAAAAATTGCCTACCACAAGAAGATAACGGGCTTGATTGGATAGGATCGTGCAATCTGACATCGACCAAGCGTACGTTGCATGATAAATCTAGCCATTGCGCTATCCGCGTTCCGTATAAATCAACAGCATCAAGAGATAATTCAATGTTTTTCATCAATAAGCAGACACGAGGTTGTTAATATAGAATTTATTAGAACACAATTGCTGACGTTTCGGCGGTTTCGCCTTCTTCAGAGCCTGGAAAGGTCAAATTGAGATGTGATCTACTCAGCCAAACACTTTCACAACCCTAGCAGATAAAACTTGACAATTCGATTTGCATTCGCATAAGAAACAGCTTCATTCAAACACCTACCGTTTATTTGTTGTAAGTATTTAAGTTAGTTGGTGGATAGCCGCCGCACAGCGTAATACATGGTCGATAACTGTGTCCATGTCAGGTCATTGGATCAGCCTGAGGTATGGCGCCAGGTCACGCGTGATGACAAGACACTCCTCCTTGCGGTTCATTTTTGAATTTTTG